GCGTCATGTACAACAACAGATAAATTCACAGGGCAGATTTCAGCAACTGAGAGAGGGCATGTGAAAAATTCCACAAATCTTCTCCATCTCCTTGTCTGCGTGCATAGAATGCATGTTAAATGTTTCTCTCTAAATGCTTCACGCAAGTACAAAAACAAATCTTTGGTTTCAACATTTTGTCTATTTTGTACGAAGCTTAATTTCATCTGATTCAGGGCCTGCGAGAAGATAATGAAAAGATAAAGTCTACTTGATTTCTTTCCCTTAGACCTTATTATCTCAGACTTATAATTCGCTTAGGTTCGGGTGCCTCTCAGCAAGAAGGTCCTGGGTTTGAATCCCGGTTGGAAAAGGGTCTTTCTGAGTGGAGTTTGTACAATAAATAGGTCTGGCATGCGCCTCCTGTACTGGCGACCCCGCTCTCATCTCTGTGTGGAGTGAGAGACAAAAGCCCAAAAATAACAATTGTAAACCGCTTTGTGACTCTGGTCTGTGAAAGGCGTTATATAGCGTATTTTACAGACCAAGGTCACCCAAAGCGCTTTACAATGTTCAGATATTGTTCCAATCATTCCACACGCTGTGATGATGGAAGCGAGTCGCCGAACACACTGGACCATCAGCCCCCAATCAACACCATCCATTCACTCACTCATATACATTCAAACCTATTGTGCATGTTTTTAGTGGTTGGGGAAACCGGAGCACCCGGAGGAAACCTACGCAGACACGGGGAGAACATGCAAACTCCACTCAGAATATAGATTACTTAGTTACTTACAAAAAAACTCATCTACAGAGTGGACATCTTTCCCTGGATCACCATTAAATGGCACAATTTGATTCTCTCTTGGCACATTTCGTTTTGACCTTGTTTGTACCTCACCCAAAGAACCTATTCTTGAAATCACAGTATCATCTTTTTGAGCCCGTTCATTTACAGGTAGCTTTCTTTGTAACTCTAATATTTGGTTTCCACCCTATGCCATTGGTTCAGCCGCATCACCTGCGCAGTATATCTTCCAGTCCTCACATTCTTCGTAAATGTTGCAGTGAACCACTTGCAGCAGTACACTCAGGGTGAATATGCATAATTTGCGACTTTAGCTCTTGACTCCATCACTTTCTCGACAGCGGACCGACTTCCTTCAAAAGTATAATGACATGTTCATCGATAAGAATAAGAAATACATTAATTGGTTTATTTACTGTTCCTTTGCATATTGATCTATCTTTGTCTTTCTTGATAATTGCATATTGATGTAGTACAGTATGTGGTGTACAGAATCAACAAATGGATAAATCTTCTTGAGAAAAACAATATACTAGATGTATCTACACATCTATTAATAATTTAAAGTGAATAATTAAGATTATAGAACGGGAGAGTAAAGCGTTTCTGAACTCTCTCACACTCAAACAAAAATGGCACAAATTATAAAGGTATTTGAGTGTAATCTTAAACTTTACATTTTGAAAAACCAATATAAATCAAGCCTGTCAGGCCTACTGCAGTTTGTAAGACCTACTACTGAAGATTGAAACTTTTATAGTTCTTTTCAGACGTTCTTGGTGAAACTAATCCTGATGAAACAATACAACAATCACCAATAGACAGCATGAGCTGTGTGTGAATGGATTCAAATAAATGACATTATTACAAAGAACAGATGTTTAAAGCTTCCTAAGGCAGATATTGCACCATTATTCTACTGCACACACAGTACAACATACTCTGACAATCCACATGTAAGTTAAATGTTACTGTTATCATTACATCTCTATCATATGGAAGCCCGTTTCCGCCATGTAAAAAAAAAAAAAAAGCCTACAGAAAGTCAAAATTTTGACTTTAAAAGTCAAAATTTCGACTTTTAAAAGTCAAAATTTCGACTTTAAAAGTCAAAATTTCGACTTTAAAAGTCAAAATTACGACTTTAAAAGTCAAAATTTCGACTTTAAAAGTCAAAATTATGAGTTTTCAACTGCGCATGTGCAGTTGAAAACTCGTATGTGTTGTTGTCTGGAACGGTCTCTGGACGTCCTTCACCTGCAGATTATGTGAAGATATTGCTGACAGCGACCACTGCATCCTTGAAGTAGCCAGAAATAATGTTGTTTGATTGATTCTGTAAAACTTTCCTGTTTAAGCCCCAGACCGCGGTCGTAGGAGGCAGGGAGGAGCTGTCTTTTTATTTATTTATGTTAAATTCAATTTACATATATACAACATATAAATCAAACGACTTCTTATTTCGACATAGTAACAAATAATGTGAGCAATACGTTTTTATAATAAATCAAAGGAAAATGAGCCATCGAGACATTCCAATCCAATCTGCTATAGACCACTCTGACCAGACGATGGCGCTGAGAGGGGTCCACACGGAGCGAGTCTTTCCACGGCTGAAAGGATGCGCTTTCTACGTGTTGAGTACGGGGTTTTATTCATGCATCTATAATGGGTTTATCTATTTCTAACCCTTTTCAAAGACCCTCACTGTTATCTGCGGAGTTATTTCTCCGGATTGTTGCTAAAAGAGTCGTGGGCTTTATTTTGTCACAATAAAATAATCAGACAAGGTACTTATTCCCTGTATGTCTCTGTGTTCTTGCTCATACGCCAACAACATTACCCGCACGCTCGCTCCATCCATACTCTTCAATGCACTGATCGCAATTCCAAAAGGGTATTATTGTCAATGCCCGTGACTGTGGTTCTCCTGCCTCTGTCTGTGGTTCTCCTGCCTCTGTCTGTGGTTCTCCTGCCTCTGTCTGCGGACCTCCCTCACTATCCAGTAATCGCGAACGGTCTCTCTGTCAGTCACAATAATATTCACTGCATTTCTGGTGCATCCATCGATAGCCGTGATACTGACCAGATGTCACCAGTTGATGCTCAATGACTTTGAACAGCCACATGTGTTTTATTATTAATCTTCCACAGTCCGTTTAGGATAAACTAAATAGAGGCTTCTGAAGCGGATTCTAATCATAAACGGAGAGACCGTTTGCATTTTAACGCGATTACTACCACAACATTATTGCTGCTACTTCATGGATGTGGTCACTGTCTGTAGGCAAAATCTTCACATAATCTGCAGGTAGAGGATGACCCATGGTCATGGATCTATAACAGGGATGACCCATGGTCATGGATCTATAACAGGGATGACCAGAGACCGTTCCAGACAACAACACATACGAGTTTTCAACTGCACATGCGCAGTTGAAAACTCGTAATTTTGACTTTTAAAGTCAAAATTTTGACTTTTAAAGTCGAAATTTTGACTTTTAAAAGTCGAAATTTTGACTTTTAAAAGTCGAAATTTTGACTTTTAAAAGTCGAAATTTTGACTTTTAAAAGTCGACATTTTGACTTTTAAAGTCAAAATTTTGACTTTCTGTAGGCTTTTTTTTTTTTTACATGGCGGAAACGGGCTTCCATACTATCACGCCTAAACAGCCGCGATCGTAATTCTAGACTCACTCTCCATGTTGCTGAAACGTGTTTTCATCATTTGTTCAATGCTCATTTTGAAAAAGGGAATTATTGCCAAACACAAGAATCGACAACATCCCTTTCACGTACATCACATGGTGTCACTGTAACACAGTCTGTTCAAACGCTGTGGGCTGAGTCTGATTCTGTTCCTCCCACTTTCTGTTGGGAACAAAAACCTGCGCGTCTTACATCGCGGATCGGGCTGAGTGAGTTAAACAGTGTTTTTCAATCGATGGATTCATAACTTATTATAATCAGAGCACTTTTCACGTGTTGGATTATGTTTCCAGTCATGGGCCTAAGGCCGTGTCGCGCTCTGTGCTGGAGGAGCTCTCTTTTTGCTGTAGCTTTGTGGACAATAGCTTCTGCACAGCTGAGATATTCTATCACTGAAGAAGTGAAAGAAGGAACCATCGTCGGGAATGTAGCCAAGGATCTGGGTTTGGATAAGAGTGCGCTCAGAGACAGGAAGTATCGCATTGTGTCTGCTGCTGCAGAGTCGCTTTTTCACGTGGATCAGAAAGACGGTCATTTGTACGTGAGCCGTAAGATTGACCGAGAAGAGGTGTGTGAAAAGACCACGACGTGTTTAATCAATCTAAAGACTGTGTTAGAAAACCCCCTGGAGGTGCATTATGTTGGAGTGGAGGTGCAGGACATCAACGACAATGCTCCAGTTTTCCCTGAATTAGAAACAACACTGGACATTTCTGAGTCCGTGTTACCGGGAGTGCGGATTCCACTCAGTGCAGCGAGAGACGCGGACAGTGGGTCATTTTCTATACAGCAGTACAGGCTCAGTGCAAATGAACATTTTAGATTAGAAGTTAAAGATATGGAAGAAGATGGTAAAATACCAACATTAATTGTACAAAAACCATTAGACAGAGAAACAGAGAAGCGTCACTCCCTTGTGCTGACGGCTGTAGATGGAGGAAAACCTCCCAAATCTGGTCATACGAGAATAAATGTAAATGTATTAGACGTAAATGACAACGCTCCTGTTTTTACTGGTGGTGAATTATCTGTGTCGATTACAGAAAATGTAGCAATAGGTACGACTGTAATACAGGTGAACGCCACTGATTCAGACGAAGGAACAAATGGAGAAGTGATGTATTCGTTTAGTAAAAGCGTAAAACAACGACTTAGAGATTTATTTGACATAAATTCACAAACAGGAGAAATAATTGTCAAAGGATTAATAAATTATGAGGAGAAAGAAAAGTACGTAATTGAAGTTGAAGGATCAGATAAAGGTTTTCCTCCGCTGTCAGCTCAGAAAAACGTAATAATAAAACTAATGGACGTGAACGACAATGCGCCTGAGATTGAAGTCACTTCGTTTTCCAGCTCCATCCCTGAAGACTCTCGGCCCGGGACTACTGTGGCTCTGATCAGTGTTTATGACAGGGACTCTGGGCTGAACGGGAAAGTCACATGTTCAATAGAAGGAGATGTTCCCTTTACACTGTCTCCTTCTCTACAGGACAAAATGTTTTCACTCGTGACTAAATCTGCTCTGGACAGAGAGACGCAGCCTCAGTACGTACTGTCTGTAGTTGCCAAAGATCACGGTCAGCCCTCACTCACTTCTGAAAAGAACATTTTAATTGTTATTTCTGACGTGAACGACAACAGCCCAGAGTTTGTGCTGAAACCATATAGTTTTTATATCACTGAGGGCAACGACCCAGGAGCGCAGCTGTTTTCAGTTCAGGCTGTGGATCAAGATGAAGGAGAAAACTCTCATATTTCTTATCATCTTTACAGAGACGGAAGCAAGGAAAATAAAGTGACTTCATTTCTCAATATTAACAGTGAAAATGGTCAAATCACGGCCATGAAAAGCTTTGACTTTGAGACTTTAAAGTCGTTCCAGTTTCAAGTGGTGGCCTCAGACTCTGGGACTCCGTCACTGAGCAGCAACGTGTCAGTGCATGTGTTCATTCTGGACCAAAACGACAACACTCCAGTCATTCTGTATCCAGTCAGCTCTAACGGTTCTGCTGAAGGAGTGGAGGAGATCCCCCGCAATGTGAACGCAGGACACTTGGTGACTAAAGTCAGGGCCTATGACGCGGACATCGGATATAACGGCTGGCTGCTGTTTTCACTGCAGGAAGTGACTGACCACAGTCTGTTTGGCTTGGACCGCTACACAGGACAGATCAGGACACTTCGCTCATTCACAGAGACAGACGAGGCCCAGCACAAACTCGTCATACTGGTCAAAGACAATGGCAACGTGTCGCTCTCAGCTACAGCTACTGTGCTTGTCAAAGTGGTGGAGGCCAGAGAGGCGTCTGCAGCTTCTGACGTGAAGAGCTCCGCTAAAGACGCTGAGGACACTAATGTGACTTTTTTACCTGATGATAACTCTGGCCTCGGTCTCAGCTCTGTTCATCATCAGTATCATTGTGCTGATTGCAATGCAGTGCTCCAAGTCCAGAACTGACTACACCTCCAAGTACTTACAAGACACAAACTATGACGGGACTCTGTGCCACAGCATCCAGTACAGATCTGGAGACAAGCGCTACATGTTAGTGGGACCCAGAATGAGCGTAGGCTCCACTATAGTCCCAGGGAGCCAAGCCAACACACTAGTGCTGCCGGACAGGAGGAGGCCCTCTGAGGAGGTAAGAGTCAAGTAAAAGCGATTGTCTAAAAGACGAAAGTTATTCATAGGCCTATATTTGATCTTCCTGTTTTACATTTTAATTGAACATTTGCGTTTAGGGTATTGCATTGATTAAAATTGGTTTGAACTTTTTAAGCGACAAAGTGGCTCAATTGTGAATTTAGATTCTGACTTTCACTTTATGTACAGCGGCCTGACTTATGATGAGATAATATAAACTTCATGGATCCATATAAAGTCTCTTTACATGTTCATCAATAAGAAATGTATTGGTGTATTTATTTACTGTTTATTTCCGTATTTTTCCTTCTCTTACAATATTTCCGACTTTAGTTTGAAACATATATTTGTCATTATTGCATGTCGTGTTAATGTAGTGCGTGTTGTACCGTTCAAACAAAGGTATAATTCCACGAAAAACAACAGAAAAGATTCTTTATTCAAAGACAATACATTCTAGAACGGTAGACTAAGGTTTCTGAGCTCTCTCACACCCAAACATAAATGCCCTTATAGCACCACCTGTTGGTACAAGAGTGACACTGAATATACATTAGTTGTGGTTTTTAAGTCATGACGATGCAATGTCACGTGTCCAGTGTGTTAAACAGCACCGTGAATTAGCTTTAACCGTTTAGAAATACAGAGGAGTGTTCCTTTACTCTATTGTGTGTTTTCACGAACGCTGTCCATGGTGCTGAATGAGACAGTATTTCAGTTGCACATTTTTGTTTCAATGTTTTCCCGCTTCGTTTTTAAACTATTAGTTAAAGACTGGGCTCGATGTAGTTCATATCAATATTGTTATAACATTAGCTCAGCTCTTCCTTCTTTGGCCTCACGGTGGCAGTCTCCAACAGACAAACGTCTCCACTTGTTTGTCCCTCCTCTCGCAGCGCTTTGTTTCCATTTTACTGAAGCTGAGAGGTCACTTGTGCGTAGCGTTATGCGGACTATGCTTTTTGTCTCATGATTTTATTACAATAGATGCTTTTAAAGGGATTTTAGAGGAAAATGAAGCGGCCTTTTCTTCCAGGGATCTGCTCTTGGATCGGTTTGTGCTCAGTTCTGCTGCTGTGTTTTGGACAGTGCGCTGTGGCTCAGATCAGATACTCTGTCCCGGAGGAGGTGAGGGACGGGACTGATGTTGGAAATGTCGCAAAGGATCTTGGTCTAGATGTGTCCTCGTTGCGTCAGAGACGGTTCCGTGTTGTTTCTGAATCAAATGAAGATATTTTTGCAGTAAACGCAGATAACGGCGCTTTTTACGTCCACGGCCACATTGACAGAGAGCAGCTGTGTCAGGGCAGCGGTACGTGCCTGATGGAGCTGAAGGTTCTGGTAGAAAACCCTTTGGAAGTTCATTATGTGGTTGTAGAAGTCACTGACGTCAATGATCACGCTCCCACTTTTCCAAAAGGAAATGAAACTATAGAGGTTTGGGAAAATACTCTGTCTGGAAAACGATTCCAGCTTCACCCTGCTAATGATCCTGACGCAGGAGTAAACTCTATTCGAACCTACACGTTGTCTGCTAACGAACATTTTGAAATAAACATTCGAGAAACAAATGGTGAAAAAATCCCATTTCTGGTGCTGAAAAAAATGCTGGACAGAGAACAAAGCAGTGAACATTTTCTGGTGGTGACAGCAGTTGATGGAGGTAAACCCCGAAGATCAGGGACACTGAATGTTTCCATTATTGTTCTTGATAGTAACGACAACATACCAGTTTTTAGTCAAGAGATTTATGAAATTACAGCGAGAGAAAATTTAAAACCAGGCGCATCTATTTTTAGGCTCACAGCAACAGACCCAGACGTAGGAACAAACGGAGAAATCGAATTCAGTTTGTCAAAATCATTGAAGAAAAAGATCTATGACATTTTTGAATTAGACCCAAAAAAAGGTGAAATTATTTTAAAGGGACCGATAAATTATGAAGAAAATGATTTCTATGAATTAGAAGTGCAAGCGTCAGATAAAGGCACGCCTCCATTGACAGGAGAATGTAGAGTAATAATAAAAATCCTAGATGTTAATGATAATTCCCCTGAAATAGAAGTGACCTCTTTGTCAAACACAGTGTCTGAAAACTCCAAACCAGGGACAGTAGTTTCTCTCATCCGCGTCAAAGACAAAGACTCTGGAGTGAATGGTAAAATCATCGCTCACATCACAAACAACGTGCCTTTTGAGCTCAAACCCTCGTATAAAGAAAACACATATTCAGTTGTCACTAAAGACTTCCTGGACAGAGAGAAGGTTTCTAATTATGACATAAGAATAAAAGCCACTGACTGTGGAGAGCCTCCTTTATCCACCACTAAAACTCTCAGTATTCAGATATTAGATGTGAACGACAACTGTCCACAGTTTGAACACAATCCTCTGTACTTTTATATAGTAGAAAATAACGCGGCAGGGACGTCCCTGTTCTCTGTAACTGCAACAGACAAAGATAAGAATGAAAACGCACATGTTTCCTACAGCATTGCGCGTTCAGGACAAGAAAAGGACGTGGCACTCTTTTTAAACGTGAACGCTGAAAATGGTCAAATCACGGCCCTGAAAAGCTTTGACTTTGAGACTTTAAAGTCGTTCCAGTTTCAAGTGGTGGCCTCAGACTCTGGGACTCCGTCACTGAGCAGCAACGTGTCAGTGCATGTGTTCATTCTGGACCAAAACGACAACGCTCCAGTCATTCTGTATCCAGTCAGCTCTAACGGTTCTGCTGAAGGAGTGGAGGAGATCCCCCGCAATGTGAACGCAGGACACTTGGTGACTAAAGTCAGGGCCTATGACGCGGACATCGGATATAACGGCTGGCTGCTGTTTTCACTGCAGGAAGTGACTGACCACAGTCTGTTTGGCTTGGACCGCTACACAGGACAGATCAGGACACTTCGCTCATTCACAGAGACAGACGAGGCCCAGCACAAACTCGTCATACTGGTCAAAGACAATGGCAACGTGTCGCTCTCAGCTACAGCTACTGTGCTTGTCAAAGTGGTGGAGGCCAGAGAGGCGTCTGCAGCTTCTGACGTGAAGAGCTCCGCTAAAGACGCTGAGGACACTAATGTGACTTTTTACCTGATGATAACTCTGGCCTCGGTCTCAGCTCTGTTCATCATCAGTATCATTGTGCTGATTGCAATGCAGTGCTCCAAGTCCAGCACTGACTACACCTCCAAGTACTTACAGGACACAAACTATGACGGGACTCTGTGCCACAGCATCCAGTACAGATCTGGAGACAAGCGCTACATGTTAGTGGGACCCAGAATGAGCGTAGGCTCCACTATAGTCCCAGGGAGCCAAGCCAACACACTAGTGCTGCCGGACAGGAGGAGGCCTTCTGAGGAGGTAAATACTTTATATATTGGATTTTGACCCGTAATGAGTAAAACATATGCTTGTAATCATTCATATTTATCCATTTTATTTTTTTATTAAGCAAAATAGAATTTGCTTATTTGGCCTTGTGGTTGTGCAGCTTTGTAACATCGTCTTTGTAACAATCACCATTAGACAAGATGAGAACGTTTGTGGTGTGTGTGAATGGATTTTAAATGACACACATCATAATAAAGCGTGCATGTTAAAAACTTCCTAAGTTAGCCGCACAATTCTAATAAACACACAATTCAACATACTCTGACAATCACACGCCCAACACATACCAACCCTTCTTCCCTCTCCTGCCATGATACTGAAATAAATATATCTTGTTTTCTCCTCCTGTAACTTTCCCTCACCAATTTTATAATATACGTTTTGACTGGTGTCAAACGTAAATGGTTTTTCTAGTCTTCAGTGAGTCCATTTACCGAAATAGACCCCCTTACAGAAATGCACATTGGCTTCAGCGCTGTTTTGGCTCGTGATTCTTTTCAGACTAAATTAGAGCTGGCTGTCTCAATCAATGTACAATTTCTTAGTTAGTTAGTTAGACCTCACAAGGCTTTAACAGACTCTCCTGCATCAGCAAGGAACAACTCTTTCATTGAGTCCACATTGAGAGAGGGGTCCACTCCCACGGACGGGCGGGCTATTGATCCAGGACTCAGGGTACAGGACGAGGACCAAGACCACGCAGTGTAGGACTCAGGTTGTGCTACAGGACCGAAGCAGCTCCCAGGCGGGGAGGGGTTGCAGCTCACGAATTCGCTGGGCAGGCGAGTGCGCAGGTGCAGATCATCACACAATGAAACAGACAATGGGACAGCGGGTGAATAGCAATGAACAGACTACAGTCAAAATCATAATAATGATGACAAATAAAGTAGGAAATAGGAGGGGATAGTGCTCATGTTGCTGTTCCTATGTCAAATTCTAGCCTCTGCAGAATATTGTGGTCTATTGTGTCAAATGCAGTGCTGAGTTCCTGCAGAACCAACACTGACACTTGTCTATTATCAACAGCTAGCAGTCCTGACTATTGTTGTTTCAGTGCTATGATGAGCTCTTAATCTGGATTGAAAGATTTCAAATATTGCATTTTCCTGTAGTTAGCAGCATAGTCGTTTGGCAATGGTTAAAATAGGTCTGTAATTTTTAATTGATTCAGGTTTGAGTTTTGTTTTTTTCAGAAATGGTTTGTTTACCGCGGTTTTAAAAGCTTGTGGGACATTTTATACTTTCTATAGATGTATATTTATTATGTTTAAGATAGGCTCTGATATTAAAGTGAGTGTGTCTTTGAAGAGCCTGGATCTAAAATGCATGTTAAGGATTTGGAAGATGTGCCCACAGAGATCACTTCCGCTTGGCTCACAACCATGAACTGGTCCAGGCTCACTGAGTCAAAGTGGGACGTTAAGTTTACCACTTCAGCCTGTTCATCACTAACATTAGGGGTGGTTTCCTCCAGTTTGTCACGTATAAATGTAATTTTATCATTAAAGAAGTGCAGAAAGTCGACACTGCTCAGTGAGATTGGTATTTTAGGCTCGATTGGGCTATGACAGTTTGTTAGTTTAGCGACGGTGCTAAACAGGAATCTACTGTTGTTTTTATTCACTTCTATTAAATTTGAATAGAATTGAGTTTGAGTTTTACGTAGGGCATTCTTGTAGTTTCGGGACCTACAAGTGGGAGTGGCGACATAGTCTCTCCAGTTTTCGAACATTCTGTTTGAGAATATGCAGCTGAATATTATACCACAGCAATAATGATCTAATCCTAAAAGTGTTTTGTTTTATAGGAGCTGCTGCATTTAGAGCAGATTTTAAAGACTCCATAGTGTTGTCCACAGTTTGGTCGATGACTGAGGGACTGATGCAGCTGTGAGCAGGTTTACTAGAAATGGTATTTGACATCGGCTGTATTAGTTCTTTGAAACTTGTGATGGATGTCATTTAAGATTCTTTTCATTATGGGTTTGTCCAATTACGCAGGAAAGTCATGTTATAATCGCCTTCTATCTTAACTTTCTGGATGTTGAACAATAACAAACTTTTTTTTGATTTTGGTTGCAAACGTCTCATCCATTCCTTAAATGTATTATGTATGTTGTAGACACAACATATAATAATCTTTTTCCTTTTTCCGTTTTTCATTTCAACCGTAGCACATTCAAACACCTATCTATATTTTGTAGGGCTGTCAAACGATTAACATTTTGTAGTTGATTAATCACATAGTAATGGTGAGTTAACTCACGATTAATCACATTTTTAACATTCTATTTCAAATCCACTCCAATTGAAGCTAATTGAGATTATCAAATGTAATGACACATTGTCATTCAGATAATGTACTTACATCTGTTAGATTTGCTCACAACCTTTTGCTTTTGGGCGAAACCAAAATGAGCTGTTAATAAAAAGGGTAAATGTACGTACCCCAGCTTTAATTTAGCGAGTTTAGTTTAGTTTAGTTTCAGGAGGAGACACGGATACTTTCTCTGTGTATTTGCGTGCACAGGTTACGCACAGGTTGCAAACACACGAACACAACATGGAGAGAATAGTTCTAGGTGTGTATGGTCTAATATGACCATGTAACCGCGGCGCCATTCGCTCACAGCCGCTCACAGCCGTGTTGTTGTTAGCGGGTCACAACCAGAGTGCACGCGGAGGAGGCGGACTTCAGTTTACAACAAACAGCCCTGCGGTCACGCGCGTATTCTATTAAAACTGGAATTCCCAGAAGGCCTACCTGCTCTGATGCCATCTTACACGCAGCATTCCGAGTGATATCATGGATAAATGGGCGTGTCATTCGGACATGCGTTAATGAGTTAATTGTTTTAACTCATTCAACGCCTTAATGAAAAATGTCATTAATGTGAGTTAACGCGATAATTTTGACAGCCCTAATATTTTGGTTTATTTATAATGCTACTCCTCCTCCTTTTTTGTTGTCTCTATTTACACAGAACTTTCATAACCACTCAAGTTAGACTCTGTGCCCTTTTCAACATTTAACCATGCCTCTAATATTGCTATGATACAAATTAGTATTTTAAATTCAATTCAAATAATCTTTTATATTACAATGTGTGAAGAACCCTGCTATTGAAATGAATAATGAACAGTTTATACTTAATGTTTTAACTAAAGTATGTGTCTGTATAAACTGAAAGATTTTTGCTATAATTCTTGGAAATATTTTTGTCAGGATCGATTTTGTTTAATTTTGATTGAGATTTGTAGTCAGTAAATTGAAAAGATTCAAATTCAAAATTTTGACAGTCTATATGTAAACATTCTCTGCTGTCGTTGGAGGAGGAGGAACAATCTCAGAGTCGGCAAGTACTTGTCAGTAAGTCTAGAAACACTCTCCACGGTGCTGAAAGGTTCCCTCAAATTTGATTAAAATTTGTTTGAAAAGGGGAAAAATCGTCAAAAAGCCAAACATTTGAATGAACAACATAATTTTCACGTACATCACATGGTGTCACTGTAACACAGTCTGTTCAAACGCTGTGGGCTGAGTCTGATTCTGTTCCTCCCACTTTCTGTTGGAAACAAAAATCTGCGCGTCTTACATCGCGGATCGGGCTGAGTGAGTTAAACAGTGTTTTCTTTCAATCGATGGATTCATAACTTATTATAATCAGAGCACTTTTCACGTGTTGGATTATGTTTCCAGTCATGGGCCTAAGGCCGTGTCGCGCTATGTGCTGGAGGAGCTCTCTTTTTGCTGTAGCTTTGTGGACAATAGCTTCTGCGCAGCTGAGATATTCTATCACTGAAGAAGTGAAAGAAGGAACCATCGTCGGGAATGTAGCAAAGGATCTGGGTTTGGATAAGAGTGCGCTCAGAGACCGGAAGTATCGCATTGTGTCTGCTGCTGCAGAGTCGCTTTTTCACGTGGATCAGAAAGACGGTCATTTGTACGTGAGCCGTAAGATTGACCGAGAAGAGGTGTGTGAAAAGACCACGACGTGTTTAATCAATCTAAAGACTGTGTTAGAAAACCCCCTGGAGGTGCATTATGTTGGAGTGGAGGTGCAGGACATCAACGACAATGCTCCAGTTTTCCCTGAATTAGAAACAACACTGGACATTTCTGAGTCCGTGTTACCGGGAGTGCGGATTCCACTCAGTGCAGCGAGAGACGCGGACAGTGGGTCATTTTCTATACAGCAGTACAGACTCAGTGCAAATGAACATTTTCGATTAGAAGTAAAAGATATGGAAGAAGATGGTAAATTACCCACATTATTTGTACAAAAACCATTAGACAGAGAAACGGAGAAGCGTCACTCCCTTGTGCTGACGGCTGTAGATGGAGGAAAACCTCCCAAATCTGGTCAGACGGGAATTATTGTGAATGTAATAGACATAAATGACAACGCTCCTGTTTTTACTGGTGGTGAATTATCTGTGTCGATTACAGAAAATGTAGCAATAGGTACGACTGTAATACAGGTGAACGCCACTGATTCAGATGAAGGAACAAATGGAGAAGTGATGTATTCGTTTAGTAAAAGCGTAAAACAACGACTTAGAGATTTGTTTGACATAAATTCACAAACAGGAGAAATAATTGTCAAAGGTTTATTGGATTATGAGGAGAAAGAAAAGTATGTGATAGAAGTGGAAGCATCAGATACAGTGTTTCCTCCGCTCTCAGCTCAGAAAAACGTGATAATAAAAATAGTGGACGTGAACGACAATGCGCCTGAGATTGAAGTCACTTCGTTTTCCAGCTCCATCCCTGAAGACTCTCGGCCCGGGACTACTGTGGCTCTGATCAGTGTTAATGACAGGGACTCTGGGCCATGGACGTCGGAACTATTTTCTGAGAGGGGGGGCGGGTTTTTGTTGGGAGAGTCGAGGGAGAGACTCATACTTGGATTACACTGGATAATAACATACCATCTTAATTGTTAAGAAAAACAAAAAAATAAACAATATATATCAAGCAAGTCACTTATCAAACTGAACATTTTTTTTTTCAATACGCATTCATGCGTCAGTCTCTCCGGTGGCTTCATTGTGTTGTGTAGCCCAGTGACGTGCGGTCAGATGAGGCAGGCAAGGCCCTCACCTAAGATCATAGAAAGAAAAGTAATAAAATGGATACAATAATGTTTGGTCACTTTATCAAGTGATTTGTGCTGTGCCTTATTTCATTTATTTATACCTTGAAATCGCAGATTTGACAGAGCGGCGCTGTGAGGCAAGCCTCTCTTGGGAGACGTAAAAAGCAACAGCTCACAGGGAGAGTCCTGTGAGGTGCTATCAAACTGTTTTCTCTGTTTATCACGGTTTAAAAAGTTCAAAAATATTTAATTTACAATCAACATGTTTACATTTAAGAGGATGGCTCATAAAGTGTGTTTTTGAAGCAAACATGGGTCTTAATCGCGCTCAACCACAGCTTGTAAGTGAGGAAAGCCTCAAGGGGGCGCGTGTGAGCCCAAACTTTGGCTGCATCCAAGTCCATCAGAAAGCTCCTTTCTTGTTCTTCTTCTGCTAAGGGCAGCTACAGGTTTGGCTAACATACCTATAATACATTTTAAGATAATTTAAATGCACTTAGAGTAATGTTTTGCTTCCAATAATGATATGAATCATAAGAAAAGGAGGTGAAGGGTAAGGTTGAATTTAGAAATTGGATTTACCCGGGAGTCGGCTGCAGCAAAACTCGGAGTTTACGGAGGAGACACCCGTTTTTTTTACTTTTTAAAACTCATTGAACTTATTTCCAAATGGAGGATTACATGTCTGTGCTCAAACTATTATCTGGACTTAAACATGAAACTGGTCCTAACTGAAGTGGTCTGTGCTGTTCATTAATACCTAAGGTAAGGCCCATAACACACTTTGTACTTTTTACAAACGTTTGCGTTTTGTATGAGAAAACTATGCAGACATTAAATCATATTCTGCTGTAGCCAAACAAATTGTGTATAAGCCGCTCCTGTTCCTGTAGGTCCTGTTGGTTTATATGATGTATAATAATATGAACACATGATTGATCCCCCACCGCACGTCACTGGTGTAGCCAGGTCTCTAATCTGCGCAAGGCTGAGAAAGAGCGCTCAGAGGCTGCGACAGATATTAGCCAGACAGAGCTTCATAAGCTTCTCCGACAACATGGAGCGGGTTTTGGGCTGCAAGGAACGCAGGATAGTGATAACTTCTCGCTCCCGGCACACGCGGAGGGGGTGCGGCCGCACCCCCCGCACCCCTAGTTCCGACGTCTATGCTCTGGGCTGAACGGGAAAGTCACATGTTCAATAGAAGGAGACGTTCCCTTTACACTGTCTCCTTCTCTACAGGACAAAATGTTTTCACTCGTGACTAAATCTGCTCTGGACAGAGAGACGCAGCCTCAGTACGTACTGTCTGTAGTTGCCAAAGATCACGGTCAGCCCTCACTCACTTCGGAAAAGAACATTTTAATTGTAATTTTGGACGTGAACGACAACAGCCCAGAGTTTGTGCTGAAACCATATAGTTTTTATATCACTGAGGGCAACGACCGAGGAGCGCAGCTGTTTTCAGTTCAGGCTGTGGATCAAGATGAAGGAGAAAACTCTCATATTTCTTATCATCTTTACAGAGACGGAAGCAAGGAAAATAAAGTGACTTCATTTCTCAATATTAACAGTGAAAATGGTCAAATCACAGCCCTAAAGAGCTTTGACTTTGAGACTTTAAAGTCGTTCCAGTTTCAAGTGGTGGCCTCAGACTCTGGGACTCCGTCACTGAGCAGCAACGTGTCAGTGCATGTGTTCATTCTGGACCAAAACGACAACGCTCCACTCATTCTGTATCCAGTCAGCTCTAACGGTTCTGCTGAAGGAGTGGAGGAGATCCCCCGCAATGTGAACGCAGGACACTTGGTGACTAAAGTCAGGGCATATGACGCAGACATCGGATATAACGGCTGGCTGCTGTTTTCACTGCAGGAAGTGACTGACCACAGTCTGTTTGGCTTGGACCGCTACACAGGACAGATCAGGACACTTCGCTCATTCACAGAGACAGACGAGGCCCAGCACAAACTCGTCATACTGGTCAAAGACAATGGCAACGTGTCGCTCTCAGCTACAGCTACTGTGCTTGTCAAAGTGGTGGAGGCCAGAGAGGCGTCTGCAGCTTCTGACGTGAAGAGCTCCGCTAAAGACGCTGAGGACACTAATGTGACTTTTTACCTGATGATAACTCTGGCCTCGGTCTCAGCTCTGTTCATTATCAGTATCATTGTGCTGATTGCAATGCAGTGCTCCAAGTCCAGCACTGACTACACCTCCAAGTACTTACAGGACACAAACTATGACGGGACTCTGTGCCACAGCATCCAGTACAGATCTGGAGACAAGCGCTACATGTTAGTGGGACCCAGAATGAGCGTAGGCTCCACTATAGTCCCAGGGAGCCAAGCCAACACACTAGTGCTGCCGGACAGGAGGAGGCCCTCTGAGGAGGTAAGAGTCAAGTAATTGCGATTGGATTAAACACAATAGTTTTTTTATGAGCCTACATTTGATATACCTGTTTTACATTTTAATCGAACATGTGTGTTTAGGGTATTGCATTAAAATGGTTTATTATTGGTTTGAACTTTTCAGGCGACAAAGTGGCTCAATTGTGAATTTGGATTCTGACTTTAACTTTATCTACAGCGGTCTTACTTATAATAAGATTATATAAAATTCAGGGATCCATATAAAGTCTAATTACATGTTCATCAATAAGAAATGTATCGGTTTATTTATTTACTGTTTATTTGCGTATTCTTCCTTCTCTTATAATTTTTCCGACTTTAGTTTGAAACATATATTTGTCATTATTGCATTTTGATATAGTGCGTGTTGTACAGTTCAAACAAAGGTATAAATCCACGGGAGAAAAACAACAGAAAAGATTCTTTATCTTAGAACGGCAGACGAAAGTTTCTGAGCTCTCTCACACTCAAACATAAATGGCCCATCAGCGCCACCTGTTGGTACACTGGTGACATTGATAAAACACAAGTTATGGTTTTTAATTCATGACAATGCAGTGTCATGTGTCCAGTGTGTTAAACAGCACCGTGAATTAGCTTTAACCATTTAGAAAAACAGAGAAGTGCTCGTTTACTCTATTGTGTGTTTTCACGAACGCTGTCCATGGTGCTGAATGAGACAGTATTTCAGTTGCACATTGTTGTTAAAATGTTTTCCTGATTCGTTTTTTAACTATTAGTTAAAGGCTGGGCTCGATGTAGTTCATATCAATATTGTTATAACATATTAAATCAGCTCTTCTTTCTTTGGCCTCACGGTGGCAGTCTCCAACAGACAAACGTCTCCACTTGTTTGTCCCTCCTCTCGGAGCGCTTTGTTTCCATTTTACTGAAGCGGAGAGGTCACTTGTGCGCAGCGTTATGCGGACTATGCTTTTTGTCACACGTTTTTATTTCAATAGATGCTTTTAAAGGGATTTTAGAGGAAAATGAAGCGGTCTTTTCTACCAGGGATCTGCTCTTGGATCGGTTTGTGCTCAGTTCTGCTGCTGTGTTTCGGACAGTGCGCTGTGGCTCAGATCAGATACTCTGTCCCGGAGGAGGTGAGGGACGGGACTGTTGTTGGAAATGTCGCAAAGGATCTTGGTCTGGATGTGTCCTCTTTGCGTGAGAGACGGTTCCGTGTTGTTTCTGAATCAAATGAAGATATTTTTGCAGTAAACGCAGATGACGGGGCTTTGTACGTCCACGGCCACATTGACAGAGAGCAGCTGTGTCAGGGCAGCGGTACGTGCCTGATGGAGCTGAAGGTTCTGGTAGAAAACCCTTTGGAAGTTCATTATGTGGTCGTAGAAGTCACTGACGTCAATGATCACGCTCCAATTTTTCCTAAAAGAAACGAAACTATAGAAATAGGGGAACTTACGCCGTCTGGTAATAAATTCCAGCTTCACCCTGCTAATGATCCTGACGCAGGAGTAAACTCTATTCGAACCTACACTTTGTCTGCTAATGAACATTTTGACATCAATATCCGCGAAAGTGATGTGATTAAAACTCCATTTTTAGTTTTAAAAAAACCATTAGACCGAGAAGAACATAGGAAACACACGTTGCTCCTCACAGCTGTAGATGGAGGTAAACCCCGAAGATCAGGGACATTAAATGTTACAATTATTGTCCTGGACAGTAACGATAATAGACCAGTTTTCACAAAAGAGGTGTATGAGATTTCAGTAAAAGAAAATGTAGAAATTGGAACGACAGTTGTTGGTCTCACTGCAGCTGATGCTGACGAGGGAATAAATGGAGAGATTGAGTATCGTCTCAGAGAATCTCTGTTCCAAGGCGTACAGCACATGTTTGAGTTAGATAAAACTACAGGAGTTATTACAACCAAAGGACTTGTGAATTTTGAAGAGACTCATCAATATGAATTAGACGTGGAGGCGTCAGATAAAGGGACGCCTCCATTGACAGGAGAATGTAGAGTAATAATAAAAATCCTAGATGTTAATGATAATTCCCCTGAAATAGAAGTGACCTCTTTGTCAAACACAGTGTCTGAAAACTCCAAACCAGGGACAGTAGTTTCTCTCATCCGCGTCAAAGACAAAGACTCTGGAGTGAATGGTAAAATCATCGCTCACATCACAAACAACGTGCCTTTTGAGCTCAAACCCTCGTATAAAAAAAACACATTCAGTTTTCACTAAAGACTTCCTGGACAGAGAGAAGGTTTCTAATTATGACATAAGAATAAAAGCCACTGACTGTGGAGAGCCTCCTTTATCCACCACTAAAACTCTCAGTATTCAGATATTAGATGTGAACGACAACAGTCCACAGTTTGAACACAATCCTCTGTACTTTTATATAGTAGAAAATAACGCGGCAGGGACGTCCCTGTTCTCTGTAACTGCAACAGACAAAGATAAGAATGAAAACGCACATGTTTCCTACAGCATTGCGCGTTCAGGACAAGAAAAGGACGTGGCGCTCGTTTTAAACGTGAACGCTGAAAATGGTCAAATCACGGCCCTGAAGAGCTTTGACTTTGAGACTTTAAAGTCGTTCCAGTTTAAAGTGGTGGCCTCAGACTCTGGGACTCCGTCACTGAGCAGCAACGTGTCAGTGCATGTGTTCATTCTGGACCAAAACGACAACGCTCCAGTCATTCTGTATCCAGTCAGCTCTAACGGTTCTGCTGAAGGAGTGGAGGAGATCCCCCGCAATGTGAACGCAGGACACTTGGTGACTAAAGTCAGGGCCTATGACGCGGACATCGGATATAACGGCTGGCTGCTGTTTTCACTGCAGGAAGTGACTGACCACAGTCTGTTTGGCTTGGACCGCTACACAGGACAGATCAGGACACTTCGCTCATTCACAGAGACAGACGAGGCCCAGCACAAACTCGTCATACTGGTCAAAGACAATGGCAACGTGTCGCTCTCAGCTACAGCTACTGTGCTTGTCAAAGTGGTGGAGGCCAGAGAGGCGTCTGCAGCTTCTGACGTGAAGAGCTCCGCTAAAGACGCTGAGGACACTAATGTGACTTTTTACCTGATGATAACTCTGGCCTCGGTCTCAGCTCTGTTCATCATCAGTATCATTGTGCTGATTGCAATGCAGTGCTCCAAGTCCAGCACTGACTACACCTCCAAGTACTTACAGGACACAAACTATGACGGGACTCTGTGCCACAGCATCCAGTACAGATCTGGAGACAAGCGCTACATGTTGGTGGGACCCAGAATGAGCGTAGGCTCCACTATAGTCCCAGGGAGCCAAGCCAACACACTAGTGCTGCCGGACAGGAGGAGGCCCTCTGAGGAGGTAAGAGTCAAGTAATTGTGATTGGATTGGACACAATCGTTATTTATGAGCTTAAATTTGATAATCTTACTTTTTCTCAAACTAAACATTTACTGAATTTGACAACCGAAATATGAAAAAAATATGAGCAATCTTCCTTGATTTTACCAAGGCTTTTGATACCGTTGATCACTACCTCGTACTGGACAAGCTGTACTCAAAAGGTCTAAACGCACTTTGCTGTGGTTTAACTCCTACATTTAAGAAAACAATCTACATCAGTTTGAAGTGAATTATCCTCTACCACAACAGTAAGAGGAAGGCGCAAGGCACAAGGGTGCGCACTAGGACCACTCTTATTCTAGAACGATCTACCGAAAATTATAAGCAAATGTAATGTTCACTTTTATGCTGGTGACACAGTTATCTTCATCTCTCATAACAACTTATGTCACATACAACCACATACAAAATTAGCTTATCCAAAATAATCTTCTTACAAACAGTAAAAAGTCATTTTTGTTCAGGAAACCAATGAGTATAAACCTACATAATCTGCCAATTCATTATTTGGATGAAACTACTGCAGAATACTGAAACCCCCAACAATCTCAGGCTTTGGCTTGATCCAGAACTCTCTTTAAAACTACACATAGATTGTTTACTAAATACAACTTATGCTCTTCTGGCTCAGCTTTAGATCAATTAGCTGCTTCACATACAACCATACAAAAAAAATAATTCAGCAACTCGTGCTGCCAATAATTGACTACGGTGATAAAGTCTATCAACATACAACTGATACTGTTCTTAAACGCTTGACCACTCTTACAAACTCACTCTGTAGATTCCTACTCCGATGCACTTATTTAACTCATCTTTGCTCACTATACTCTTCACTGAGTTGGTTACAACCCAACTTAATTTCATTTCATTGGTTCATTTGTTTGTATAAATGAATCTACCTTGATCTCCCTGATTACCTAAACCAACACATATTTCCATTTAGAACCACACAACAAATTTGAATTCTCCGTATTTCTGAGTCCCCATTGTGAGAAGAGATGTAGGAAAGGGGGCATTTCTATCTAAAGTGGCTTATGACTGGAATAACCTGCTGATGGAAATAAGTAAATAGATAGACCTTTATTGTCCCCTGTGGGAAATTCATTTTCACAAACACTGTCCCATACATAGAATAGGGAGGAAGGAAGTCACAATACACACAAGATACACAAAAAACTCAGAAAGAAACGCATACAATACAGGAACAAGGGCAAATTTACAGACTGTTAAGAGTAGCTATGGCTGAAGGGACAAAAGTCTTGCTAAGTCTTGACCGCTTCTATCTTAATGTTCTGTATCTGCGTCCTGAGGGCAGCAGCAAATGCGATTGCCATCCTTCTTTCTAATGTCAAATATTCAATGTGTTCTTCAACTTAAGTGTTGAAAGTATCTAAAATATTATATTCAAGGGCTGGAGCTCTCAGTCTCCAACAATTTAAAATGTATGTAATTTTCTGAATCCTGTGGATAGCGTTAACTGTGAGGAACTGTAGGCGAGTGTCTGGAAGTGCGGTGCTAAATGTCTGGTGAAGCAATGTGAATGCTGTTTGTGTAACCAGATGATATGCGTTGGTACCACTAGTTGTACGCATACCACACTTTGAGAACCACTGGTCTACCCCATAGGGCTGGGCGATAAAACAGTAACGATATATATTGCGATAGACATGTGTTAGATATCAATAGAAAATGGGGTCAATAGAATATTCAATAGTTTAACCACACTCCGTTAGAAAAAACAGGAAGAAAACCCAGGAAGTAAATCCGAGTCAGAAGCGTTCAGCATTCTGGGGGACGTAGGCAGAGGCTTCTCGACCTATCACGGCCGAGCATGAACTGCAAAACATTCTGGGAAATGCAAAAACAACCACACCATGCGTTGCGTCCATGGATCTATAGATTGTGTTTCAATGCCGTGTCAATGGTTATGCACGTCCGTGCGAGGAATAGCATGTGCGATGCGGTAGAGGGAGTGGGCAAAGCGTCTCGATGCATGCAGCAAAAGCAAGAGATGAACATTTACCTCTGGAAGGTAAAAAAGGGCCACAAGGAGCTGTCACGGGGACACAAGACACTCGAAAACAGCCAAAACAGGAGCTAAACCAGGACTACACCGGGATTAAACCAGGACTGACAATGGGGAACACTTTTCTTGTGAACATACGCCTCCAGCCTGAGTTCATAAAAAACAATCAATAATTATTGATATCGACCAATGTGAATCACTTATATTGTGATATCGTTTTCAGCCTTATCGCCCAGCCCTACTACCCCTGCAGCAGCTAATTCATAACCTAACTCAGTACCTACCCTCAGCCTGTCACAATCATCTTCACAACCATCAAACTCTGCATGTAAGTATGGGTCTGACCCTGCTAGATAGAGCATCTGCCGCAGAATTACAACGACCAGGCAGATACCTGACATCAAAATAAAACACAGCTAACTATGCCACCCACCTTTGTTGGATAGCCCCTAACTTGGCTGTGGACAGGTAACAGAGGAGATTGTTGTCAGTAAAAACAGTTAACTTGCTATATTTTTGTCCTTCTTCTCTGCTGCTCCAAGCCTGCGACTTACATAAGCTATGACTTTTTTCTTTCCATACTAAACTTGTTAGATACCGCGCCTAAACCAAGGTTTCTTGCATCAGTCTCAAGAATGAATGGTAACTGAAAGTCGGCATAACCTAAGATGGCCTTAAATGGCCTTAGATGGGGTCTTCTCCTTAATACAGGTATTAACGACATCATGAAGGGGTCCTGCTAGACTTGCTAATGCTAACTTTCTCTGGATCAGTGCCTACACCCAGATGACCTAATTTATTGGAGAAATCTGCTTATTTCAACTTTTACTTTTAACCCTGTCTTTTTCAGTCTCAGGAGGAAAGTTTCAAGCTGTTCATGGTGTTATTCAAAACACGAGCAGGTTGTCCAAGTTCACAATTACATACTGGAAGATGAGTTCACTCATTGTTCCTTGCATTAAGCGCTGAAAAGTTGCAAGGGCATTACATAATCCAAACAGCATACGTAGATATTCATGTAAGCCTGACAGTGGCCTGACTTCCCACCAAAGTATAATTACATGTTTATCGATAAGAAATACATGCGTTTGTTTATTTACTGTACATTTTTATATTCATCCAGCTCCTATAATATTTCAGGCTTTTGATTTAAACATTTTCTTGAGAATTGCATATTGATGTAGTATGTGGTGTATAGATTAACCAAATGGATAATTCTTCTTGAGAAAAACAATAAACTAGATGTATATACAAACCGATTAATAATTACTAAAGCGCTTCTGAACTCTTTCGCACTCAAACAAAAATGGCACAAATAATATACGCATTTGAGTGTAATATTAAACTTTAAATTTTGAAAAAAACAAAATAACTAAAGCCTGTTAGGCCTACTGCCGTTTTTAACACCTACTACTGAAGATTGAAACCTTTATTGTTCTTTTTTCCTAAGCTTATAAGGCAAATATTGCACCATTATTCTACTGTACACACAGTAAAACACACTCTGATATTCCAAATATAAGTTAAATGTTACTGTTATCATTACATTTCTACATCACGCCCAAACAGCTACGTTCGTAATTCCTGACTCACTCTCCATGGTGCTGAAACGTGTCTTCATAATTTGTTCTATATTGGTTTTGAAAAGGAGAATTATAGCCAAACACAAGAATCAACAACATCTCTTTCACGTACATCACATGGTGTCACTGTAACACAGTCTGTTCAAACGCTGTGGGCTGAGTCTGATTCTGTTCCTCCCACTTTCTGTCGGGAACAAAAACCTGCGCGTCTTACATCGCGGATCGGGCTGAGTGAGTTAAACAGTGTTTTTCAATCGATGGATTCATAACTTATTATAATCAGAGCACTTTTCACGTGTTGGATCATGTTTCCAGTCATGGGCCTAAGACCGTGTCGCGCTATGTGCTGGAGGAGCTCTATTTTTGCTGTAGCTTTGTGGACAATAGCTTCTGCGCAGCTGAGATATTCTATCACTGAAGAAGTGAAAGAAGGAACCATCGTCGGGAATGTAGCAAAGGATCTGGGTTTGGATAAGAGTGCGCTCAGAGACAGGAAGTATCGCATTGTGTCTGCTGCTGCAGAGTCGCTTTTTCACGTGGATCAGAAAGACGGTCATTTGTACGTGAGCCGTAAGATTGACCGAGAAGAGGTGTGTGAAAAGACCACGACGTGTTTAATCAATCTAAAGACTGTGTTAGAAAACCCCCTGGAGGTGCATTATGTTGGAGTGGAGGTGCAGGACATCAACGACAATGCTCCAGTTTTCCCTGAATTAGAAACAACACTGGACATTTCTGAGTCCGTGTTACCGGGAGTGCGGATTCCACTGAAAGCAGCGAGAGACGCGGACAGTGGGTCATTTTCTATACAGCAGTACAAGCTCAGCGCAAACGAACATTTTCATTTAGAAGTAAAAGATTTAGGAGAAAATGGTAAATTACCAACATTAATTGTACAAAAACCATTAGACAGAGAAACAGAGAAGCGTCACTCCCTTGTGCTGACGGCTGTAGATGGAGGAAAACCTCCCAAATCTGGTCAGACTAGAATTATTGTTAATGTTTTAGACGTAAATGACAACGCTCCTGTTTTTACTGGAGGTGAGTTATTGATAAGCCTCACTGAAAATATTCCAATCGGCTCAACTGTGACTCGCGTAAATGCCACTGATTCAGACGAAGGAACAAATGGAGAAGTGTTCTTTACCTTTAGCAACAGTGTTAGTTTTAAGTTGTTACAATTATTCGATATAAATTCTATAACAGGAGGGATAACTGTAAAAGGTGATATAGATTATGAAGAAAAGGATAACTATTTAATTGAAGTAGAGGCCTCAGATAAGGGCGTACCTCCTTTAGCCGCACAGAAAAACGTGATAATAAAAATAGTGGACGTGAACGACAATGCGCCTGAGATTGAAGTCACTTCGTTTTCCAGCTCCATCCCTGAAGACTCTCGGCCCGGGACTACTGTGGCTCTGATCAGTGTGAATGACAGGGACTCTGGGCTGAACGGGAAAGTCACATGTTCAATAGAAGGAGATGTTCCCTTTACACTGTCTCCTTCTCTACAGGACAAAATGTTTTCACTCGTGACAAAATCTGCTCTGGACAGAGAGACGCAGCCTCAGTACGTACTGTCTGTAGTTGCCAAAGATCACGGTCACCCCTCACTCACTTCTAAAAAGAACATTTTAATTGTCATTTCTGACGTGAACGACAACAGCCCAGAGTTTGTGCTGAAACCATATAGTTTTTATATCACTGAGGGCAACGACCCAGGAGCGCAGCTGTTTTCAGTTCAGGCTGTGGATCAAGATGAAGGAGAAAACTCTCATATTTCTTATCATCTTTACAGAGACGGAAGCAAGGAAAACAAAGTGACTTCATTTCTCAATATTAACAGTGAAAATGGTCAAATCACGGCCCTGAAGAGCTTTGACTTTGAGACTTTAAAGTCGTTCCAGTTTCAAGTGGTGGCCTCAGACTCTGGGACTCCGTCACTGAGCAGCAACGTGTCAGTGCATGTGTTCATTCTGGACCAAAACGACAACGCTCCAGTCATTCTGTATCCAGTCAGCTCTAACGGTTCTGCTGAAGGAGTGGAGGAGATCCCCCGCAATGTGAACGCAGGACACTTGGTGACTAAAGTCAGGGCCTATGACGCGGACATCGGATATAACGGCTGGCTGCTGTTTTCACTGCAGGAAGTGACTGACCACAGTCTGTTTGGCTTGGACCGCTACACAGGACAGATCAGGACACTTCGCTCATTCACAGAGACAGACGAGGCCCAGCACAAACTCGTCATACTGGTCAAAGACAATGGCAACGTGTCGCTCTCAGCTACAGCTACTGTGCTTGTCAAAGTGGTGGAGGCCAGAGAGGCGTCTGCAGCTTCTGACGTGAAGAGCTCCGCTAAAGACGCTGAGGACACTAATGTGACTTTTTACCTGATGATAACTCTGGCCTCGGTCTCAGCTCTGTTCATTATCAGTATCATTGTGCTGATTGCAATGCAGTGCTCCAAGTCCAGCACTGACTACACCTCCAAGTACTTACAGGACACAAACTATGACGGGACTCTGTGCCACAGCATCCAGTACAGATCTGGAGACAAGCGCTACATGTTAGTGGGACCCAGAATGAGCGTAGGCTCCACTATAGTCCCAGGGAGCCAAGCCAACACACTAGTGCTGCCGGACAGGAGGAGGCCCTCTGAGGAGGTAAGAGTCAAGTAAATGCGATTGGATTGAACAAAATAGTTTTTTACGAGCCTACAATTGATAATCTTATTTTTCATTTTCATTTTTTGTTTTTTTTTTTAAAATCTTGCATTGATTAAATATTTTTGTTAATAGTTTTGACCTTTTAGGCGTCAGTTCAATTCCTGTGACCTCCTGATTCCATCAAACAATGTAAGAAAAACATTAGTTGGAAGAATATAGATTATAGAACGGCAAAGTAAAGCGATTCTGAGCTCTCTCACACTTAAACATAAATGGCACAATGAATATACCCCAGTAATGCATGTAAAACATGTGTGTGTGTGATCTTAAACTTTAAATTTTGAATAAACAATATAAATGAAGCTTGTTAGGCCTACTGGTTGTGCTGTTTGTAAGACAGACTGCTGAAGATTGAAACCTTTATTGTTCTTTTTACACACTGTTTGTGAAACTGATCCTGATGAAACAATACAATGACCAACAATGACAATACAATGAAACAATCACCAATAGACAACATGAGCACGTGCTGTGTGTGAATGGATCCAAATGAATCAATAAAATTATATTAAAGAACAGATATTTAAAGCTTCCTAAGGCAGATATTGCACCATTATTCTACTGCACACACAGTACAACATACTCTGACAATCCACATGTAAGTTAAATGTTACTGTTATCATTACATCTCTATCACGCCTAAACAGCCGCGATCGTAATTCTAGACTCACTCTCCATGTTGCTGAAACGTGTTTTCATCATTTGTTCAATGCTCATTTTGAAAAAGGGAATTATTATTGCCAAACACAAGAATCGACAACATCCCTTTCACGTACGTCTTGTGGGACATTTTATACTTTCTATAGATGTATATTTATTAAGTTTAAGATAGCTCAGATATTAAAGTGAAGTGTGTCCCCGTTGAACGGAGCTGGATCTAAAATGCATGTGAAGGATTGGAGATGTGCCCACAGAGATCACTTCCGCTTGGCTCACAACCATGAACTGGTCCAGGCTCACTGAGTCAAAGTGGGACGTTAATTTACTTCAGCTGTTTCATTCACTAATATTAGGGGTGTATATCCTCCAGTTTGTCACTGTATAAATGTAATATTATCATTTAAAGAGTGCACAAGTCGACACTAGCTCAGTGAGATTGGTATTTTAGGCTCAATTGGGCTATGACAGTTTTGTTAGTTTTTAGCGACGGTGCTAACCAGAATCAATGTGAAAATTTATTACAATTCCTATTATATGAATAGAATTGAGTTTGAGTTTTACGTAGGCATTCTGTAGTTTCGGGACCTAACAAGTGGTAGTGGCGACAATAGTCTCTCCAGTTTTCGAACATACTATGTGAGAATATGCAGCTAATATATACCACACACTAATGATCTAATCCCAAGAAAGTGTTTTTTGTTTTTATAAGGAGCTGCAGCATTTAGAGCAGATTTTAAAGACTCCATTAGTATTGTTCCACAGTTTTGACGATGACCTGAGGGACAGATGCAGCTGAGAGCAGGTTTACTAGAAAAGGTATTTGACATTGGCTGTATTATTCGTTGAAACTTGGTGATAGATGCATATAAATTCTCTTTCATTATGGTTTTGTCCATATTACGCACAATGAGGTTAAAAACGTAGAGAAAAAAAAAAGTCATGTATAATCTCCCTTCTATCTTAACTTTCTGGATGTTGAACAAAAACAACATTTTATTGATTTGGTTGCAAATGTCCATCCATTCCTTAAATGTAATTATGTAAGAGTGTAGACATAACATAATAATAATTCTTTTCTTTTCCGTTTTCATTTCAACCGTAGCACATTCAAACACTATCCATAATTTGATAGGGCCTGTCAAACGATTAACATTTTGTATTGATTAATCACATTGTAATGGATGTAATCTCACGATTATCACATTTTTAACATTCTATTTCAATCCACTCCAATTTAAAGCTAATGAAATATCAAATGTAATGATCACAATTGTCATTCAGATAATGTAATTACATCTGTTAGATTTAGCTCACAACCTATTTGCTTTTTGGGCGAAACCAAAATGAGCTGTTAAAAAAAGGGTAAATGTACGTAACCCCACCGTTTATATTTAGCGAGTTTATTTAGTTTAGTTTCAGAGAGACACGGACACTTTCTCGGGTGTATTGCGTGACACAGGGTAACGCACAGGATTGCAACACACGAACACAACATGGAGAGAATAGATCTAGGTGTGTATGTCTAATACTGACTATGTAAACCGTGGCGCCATTCCAATCACAGCCGCTCACAGCCGGTTTTGTTAGCGGTCACAACCAGAGTGCACGCTGAGAGGCGGACTTCAGTTTAACCACAAACAGCCCTGCGGTCACGCGCGTATTCTATTAAAACTGAATTTCCCAGAAGGCCTACCTCTCAGATGCCATCTTACACCAGCACTTCTGAGGACTATCTCATGGATAAATGGGCGGGTCATTTGGACATGCGTTAAGAGTTCATTTTTTTTAACTCAATTCAACGCCTTAATTAAAAAATGTCAATAATGTTGAGTTAACGCGATAATTATGACAGCCCTAATATTTTGGTTTTATTATAATGCTACTCCTCCTCCTTTTTTGTGTCTCTATTTACACAGAACGTTCATAACCACTCAAGTTAGACCTGTGCCCTTTTCCAACATTTAACCGATGTCTCTGATATGCTATGAGACAAATTAGATATTTTAAATTCAATTCAAATAATCTTTATATTACAATTGTGTGAAGAAACCCTGCATTAAGAAATTAAAAAATGAACAGATTATACTTAATTGGTTTAACTAAAAGTATGTGCCCAGATAAACTGAAAAATTGTTTCTATAAATTCTTGGAAATATTTGTCAGGATCGATTTCGTTTAATTTTTGATTGAGATTGGTATCCAGTAAATTGAAAAGATTCAAATTCACAATTTTGACAGTCTATATGTAAACATTCTCGCTGTCGATGCGGAGTAGGAACAATCATCAGATCGGCAAGTACTTGCCAGTAAGTCTAGAAACACTCTCCAAGGTTGCTGATTTTATTTAAAAGGCAAAAGAATGACAGGGACGCACAAAAAACAGTATGATGCTCTATGTTGCCATTAAGTCAATTTTGTACTAATGAATAGCTGGAGGGTCGCTATTGTACACAAGACGGCGTCACAATCTGTAATAGAATAATAAAAGAATATTAAGATTCCAAAACCGTTCAAACTAGTTTCCACAAAACCAAAGCTTATAAAAATCTGTCAAAGCTCCGGAGTGCAGTGCTGCGATCTTTTCGACTTCAGGGCCTTTTCATCAGGGCAGACAAGTTTATAGTTCTGTCCGTGAAATACATTTTTATGTTTGTGATATATTATTGTCATTTTATATCAATCATCTGTCAAGAAAAGCATATGATTTTGTATTGTCTCTTACTGCCAGTAAAGTGTCCAGGACCTGCTGATGCTGTTTGAGAGCAGCGACAATTGTAGGCAGGTTGTACTTTCACATAAATTATCCTCCTGTAATGCCAAAGAAAGAAACATGAACTAAGCAGAGCCATAAGTGAGCCTGCAGTCCGACCTAAGAAACAAGCTCTCTGACTTCATGTGTTGTACCATCGATAGTGTATATGATTTTATAACCACTATCGAGCAACGTGATTTATATTGGCAGAATGCAACAATATTGAGAGATGTCATTATTATGAAATATTAAAATATAGAAGTCTGAAGTTTAAATTCAATTTTAGAAAAATATACAGTAAATGTATCTTTACACATATTTAAACTTCTGGTTTCCTCTGTAAGTGACTGATCACCGCACTGCGTATGTACATGACAATACAGCCTCATCCATGAGCAGCTGCCTCTTCTGCTGTAAGATCAATAAAGAAAAGTCTTCTCTTCTTTTTTTTTTTTTTACAAATATAGTATTAAGTCGGATAATTTAATGCATAGACCACTTCTGTTCGACCACAGACAGTGAGCAGACATGTCACGATATGCTTGATAACAGCGCTGACAAAGACTGTCATGGAGCCAATGATTTGTAATAATAATATTGTATTATAGCACTTTTCTCTACACTCAAAGATGTTTTACATTGCATTAATCATTCAAACTGATGTAGCCACACCTGCCCTGGAACAAACTGATCGAAGCAAGGTATCTGTGCCATTGGCACCTCCAACCACCACCAACCACTCAAACACACCAGTGTCTTGCATAAAGACACAATAAACAGTTCAGCATTCACAGGTCTCCCATTATCCCATTGTACTTCTATCAGACAACCTTCTAACAGACAACCTTAATGATTGTGTTTAAAGAGATTTACCTCCTCAGAGGGCCTCCTCCTCGGCAGGACTAGTGTGTCGGGTTGGCTCCCTGGGACTATAGCAGAGCCTACTCTCATTCTTGGTCATTTTTTGACCATTTTCACTGTTAATACTTAAACCCGCACCTTTATCTCCTACCCACGTTGGAATGTTGTATGTAATTAGTGCATTGTCCCCCAGATCTAAATCAAACGCTGTAACTGAAAACACGGGGGCAGAAACACCATTGTTCTCAGTTATATAGAAACTACAGGCTCCAGAGGAAAACACTGTCTGTCGTCATTTACATCCGACAGAGCCATTTGTATAGTTTTATTGGTGATAAGAGGTGGATCTCCATCCTTCGCTGTTACAGTGAGGTCATGATAAGCTTTTTGTTCCCGGTCTAGAAGTAATTTGGTGACTGTTGCATACATATTGTCTTGTGAAGATTGAGTTAAGATGAAAGGTTCGTTTCCACTGAGAAAGCAAGAGACTTTTCGATTCAGCCCTGAATCTAGATCACTGACGCTAATCACAGCTATACTCGTTCCAAATCTCGTGTCTTCAGATCATCTATTTCTGGGGCGTTGTTGTTTACATCAATGACCTTTATTATTACTGTTTTGTAAGTGGACAAGGATACCACGCCTTTATCAGAAGCTTGAATGTCAATTTACTAGCTCTCATTCTCTTCGAAATTCCAGTTACACAAATTTCCCCTGTGTTAGAGTCAACCCTAAACGTGTGTTGTAAATGTAAATCCACTTTCCCCGTTGTTGGCCGCGTCTATGTCCGTCGCGTTTACTTGAATGACTACAGTATTGAGCTCAGCATTCTGTAACAACGCAGCGGTGTAGACATCCATTGTAAATATAGGTGTGTTGTCGTTTACATCCAACACCTTGACGGAGAGTCTAATGGTGCCCTAGCGCACTGGTCTCCCGCCATCTACTGCTGTGAGGACAAGCCTGTGTTCACCTAAAGCTTCTCTGTCCAGCTGCTTCTGAAACACGAGAAACGGCATTTTACGGTCTTCACCTCTTCCTCCAAACGAAAGTGTTCACTGTGGCTCAGATTGTTTTGTTGAACAGAAAACTCCCCACTGTCCGTATCCCGCGCTGGTTGCAGCTGAAAGCGCGCTCCAGGTAAAGTGGATTCATAAATGTCAAGCTGCTTTTCCGTCTCTGGAAATGCAGGAGCATGGTCATTTATATCAAGTATTTCAGCCACAATGTTGTGAATTTCCAGAACGGTTTTGAGGATGATAATGCACGACTTGCTCCGCTCGCATAGTCTCCCTGTCTACTTTTCTACTGACATAGAGTAAACCAACATCCGCGTTTAAATGAAAGAGATGGTCCGTTGAGCTACTTGCGATCCGATAATGTCATTCCTCCAACAACATCTTGTCGATTCCTAAATCTTTTGCGACATTTCTAACAACACTCCCTTCTTTTGATTCTTCAAATATAGAGTATTTAATCTGAGCGGACACTTTCGTACCAATTTTTGCACAAAAGAGCAGGAAATAGAGAACACATCTCCATGGCTTTGTCTTGACCTGCGGTCCTCTTTGTTCAAAGACGCAAAACAAAAATATCAGATTATAATCCAATGTATTCATATTGTCTGGGAAACAAAAACCCTCCTGCGATATTAAATTGGACATTGAGATAATAAGGAAAACATAAACATAAACTACCGTATGGCATGTGATCAGAAACACCACCCTCAGCCTGATAACAATGCTGAAGCAAAACCATCATCTTTCAAAAACACAGTGCCACCATTTGACCAAAAGCGGAATTGCAACACATTGGAATATAACAACAAAACAAAAACAGAAAGCTGCTCACGATTGTGTTTTCAACTATGAATGTGTTTATTACCTCCTCAGAGGGCCTCCTCCTGTCCGGCAGCACTAGTGTGTTGGCTTGGCTCCCTGGGACTATAGTGGAGCCTACGCTCATTCTGGGTCCCACTAACATGTAGCGCTTGTCTCCAGATCTGTACTGGATGCTGTGGCACAGAGTCCCGTCATAGTTTGTGTCCTGTAAGTACTTGGAGGTGTAGTCAGTGCTGGACTTGGAGCACTGCATTGCAATCAGCACAATGATACTGATAATGAACAGAGCTGAGACCGAGGCCAGAGTTATCATCAGGTAAAAAGTCACATTAGTGTCCTCAGCGTCTTTAGCGGAGCTCTTCACGTCAGAAGCTGCAGACGCCTCTCTGGCCTCCACCACTTTGACAAGCACAGTAGCTGTAGCTGAGAGCGACACGTTGCCATTGTCTTTGACCAGTATGACGAGTTTGTGCTGGGCCTCGTCTGTCTCTGTGAATGAGCGAAGTGTCCTGATCTGTCCTGTGTAGCGGTCCAAGCCAAACAGACTGTGGTCAGTCACTTCCTGCAGTGAAAACAGCAGCCAGCCGTTATATCCGATGTCCGCGTCATAGGCCCTGACTTTAGTCACCAAGTGTCCTGCGTTCACATTGCGGGGGATCTCCTCCACTCCTTCAGCAGAACCGTTAGAGCTGACTGGATACAGAATGACTGGAGCGTTGTCGTTTTGGTCCAGAATGGACACATGCACTGACACGTTGCTGCTCAGTGACGGAGTCCCAGAGTCTGAGGCCACCACTTGAAACTGGAACGACTTTAAAGTCTCAAAGTCAAAGCTTTTCAGGGCCGTGATTTGACCATTTTCACCGTTAATATTGAGAAATGAAGTCACTTTATTTTCCTTGCTTCCGTCTCTGTAAAGATGATAAGAAATATGAGAGTTTTCTCCTTCATCTTGATCCACAGCCTGAACTGAAAACAGCTGCGCTCCTCGGTCGTTGCCCTCAGTGATATAAAAACTATATGGTTTCAGCACAAACTCTGGGCTGTTGTCGTTCACGTCAGAAATGACAATTAAAATGTTCTTTTCAGAAGTGAGTGAGGGCTGACCGTGATCTTTGGCAACTACAGACAGTACGTACCGAGGCTGCGTCTCTCGGTCCAGACCAGATTTAGTCACGAGTGAAAACATTTTGTCCTGTAGAGAAGGAGACAGTGTAAAGGGAACATCTCCTTCTATTGAACATGTGACTTTCCCGTTCAGCCCAGAGTCCCTGTCATTAACACTGATCAGAGCCACAGTAGTCCCGGGCCGAGAGTCTTCAGGGATGGAGCTGGAAAACGAAGTGACTTCAATCTCAGGCGCGTTGTCGTTCACGTCCACTATTTTTATAATGAGCTTTTTTTGTGTGGCTAAAGGATGAAACCCCTTATCTGATGCTTCCACTTCTAACACATACTTTTCTTTTTCCTCATAATTCAATAAACCTTTGACAGTTATTTCTCCTGTTTGTTGATTTATGTCAAACAAATCTCTCAGTTGTTTTTTTACGCTTTTACTAAACGAATACATCACTTCTCCATTTGTTCCTTCGTCTGAATCAGTGGCGTTCACCTGTATTACAGTCGTACCTATTGCTACATTTTCTGTAAGTGACACAGATAATTCACCACCAGTAAAAACAGGAGCGTTGTCATTTACGTCTAAAACATTTACATTAATTCTCGTCTGACCAGATTTGGGAGGTTTTCCTCCATCTACAGCCGTCAGCACAAGAGAGTGACGCTTCTCTGTTTCTCTGTCTAATGGTTTTTGTACAATTAATGTTGGTATTTTACCATCTTCTTCCATATCTGTAACTTCTAATCGGAAATGTTCATTTGCACTGAGCCTGTACTGCTGTATAGAAAATGACCCACTGTCCGCGTCTCTCGCTGCACTGAGTGGAATCCGCACTCCCGGTAACACGGACTCAGAAATGTCCAGTGTTGTTTCTAATTCAGGGAAAACTGGAGCATTGTCGTTGATGTCCTGCACCTCCACTCCAACATAATGCACCTCCAGGGGGTTTTCTAACACAGTCTTTAGATTGATTAAACACGTCGTGGTCTTTTCACACACCTCTTCTCGGTCAATCTTACGGCTCACGTACAAATGACCGTCTTTCTGATCCACGTGAAAAAGCGACTCTGCAGCAGCAGACACAATGCGATACTTCCTGTCTCTGAGCGCACTCTTATCCAAACCCAGATCCTTTGCTACATTCCCGACGATGGTTCCTTCTTTCACTTCTTCAGTGATAGAATATCTCAGCTGCGCAGAAGCTATTGTCCACAAAGCTACAGCAAAAAGAGAGCTCCTCCAGCACATAGCGCGACACGGCCTTAGGCCCATGACTGGAAACATAATCCAACACGTGAAAAGTGCTCTGATTATAATAAGTTATGAATCCATCGATTGAAAAACACTGTTTAACTCACTCAGCCCGATCTGCGATGTAAGACGCGCAGGTTTTTGTTCCCAACAGAAAGTGGGAGGAACAGAATCAGACTCAGCCCACAGCGTTTGAACAGACTGTGTTACAGTGACACCATGTGATATACGTGAAAGCGATGTTCTTGATAATGTGTTTGGCTGTTTGGCTATAATTCCCCTTTTCATAAAAAGTATGAACAAATATGAGGACACTTTCAGCACCATGGAGAGTGAGTATAGAATTACAAACACGTGTCTCTCTGTGGCTATCAGGGCGAGATATAATGATAGCTGCAACGTTAAACTTATATGTGAATTGCCAGAGTATGTTGCACTGTCAATACCTTGTAAATTTCTCCATTGTGGGTTTTAAGGCATGTTCATTATGTCCTCAGTTGTTTATGTGAGATGCAGGTTGACGCATCGCGTCATGTTCTAGTGATCTTGCCGTAATTCAACCGTGAGACTGATGTGTCTGCAGTGAATGAATAAATACGCCATAATGAACTTACCTTAACACGCCATAATGAACATACCTTAAAACGCACAATGGAGAAATGCAACGTTAACTGCAACATTGAGGCATAACTCAACAGGTTATGGGCCCAGGAGTCGTTCGGAAGATAAGTTTGTCACAGTTTAGAAAGTCGCAACGGACCGCGTGCTAAAGGACTGCTATCGAATAAACAGAACGGGCTAACATGGCGGAACAACAGAGAAGGTTGCCTCCACTGACAATCGAAGGAGATGAGACTAAGTATGAACTTTGGGAGATTAAAATGTTGGGGCATTTTCATTTATCTGGGCTAAAGGACACTGTGCTGAGAGAACCAGTTTCAGAAGCCAGTCGAAGAAAAATGCTGACGCATATGCAGAGTTGATTTTACTGCTAGTAGATGATAAAAGCCTTTGTAATGAGGGACGCGCCCAACAATGGAAGAGTAGCTCTGAAAATATTGAGAGAGTAATATGGGGGTGTGGCAAGCTGGACTTTGCCACCATATTTGTGTCCACCAGGGGGCACATACGGACAGTATAAATAGCCTAGATTTACGTCTTTTGTTTACCTCTGCACTTCCGTCTCCCGTGTGTGGTCACACCAGCCCTTCTACTGCTCCAGGTAGTAGAGTTTTAGTGTTGAGTCTAATATTTGTACATTTTTAGCCACTAATGTTAATTGTTGTTGTAGTGCTGCGGTTCGGCATTGTGCCCCGCAGGTCCTGCTTTTGTTTATGGCCATGCTGTGTTGTCGCTTCGGCGTCTGGCCGCCCTCGTAGGGGTCCGAGTGTGTCGTAGCTGGCTGTGGGTCTGGGCCATAGACTGTATATATTAACGGACAGAGTCACGTCTATCTCCGCCGTTCTAACTAATGGGCCAAAAAATGTGCTCTACTGGAGCTATCCAAAATGGCCGCAAATGGTCCCGCCCACAAGAAAATTGTGAAAAAACGCATCTGCGCATGCGTCAGCTGGCGAGAGCTTCATTCATTTGAACGAGAGACTTCAAAAATTCACAGCGAGTAAACCAGAGTGGTCCAAAAAAATTCACCCCCCTCAGCATTGACACACATGTGGAACGGAGCTTTGGGCCAAGAGCCAACTTTTGGTCCATCCTGTAAAGACGTTTTCGAGAGGTCTGCCAATGCTATATGTTAGCAGTTTTGTGGTTGCTCATAGATAAGCTAACTCTACTTTAACCCGTAGGCTGGAGGACTGGCCACATCGCGGCACACCGCTGTTTCTCCCGCTGTCTCTTGTTTCTCTCCATGTTCTGTGTTCTTTTGTGTGTTCACCTGTGCCCCTGAGTCCATCGACAGGAAATGTGAAACCTAAAGATAAAACTAAACAAAACATAATAAATCCAAGTAACTTATGTCTGTCTATGCCTCTCAATGATTGACGAACCTGTGCGCCTTAGGCGTTGCTGGTTTCTCTTTTATTTATTTTGTCATTATTTTAGGAGCGCGTAGCACCCTCCAACTTGCCACATGGGGAAGGGAAAGCCCCATATTATCAACTTGTACACCACGCTGACAACACTTCAGAAGGCAAACAACGAAAGTGTAATGGATTACATAATAAGAGCAGAGACCGCCATTACAGCACTGCGCAACGCAGGTGAGGCGTTGGGAGACGGCTTGCTAGTGGCTATAGTCTTGAAGGGACTGCCTGTGAGTAATAAGCCATTCAAAATACATGTGGCACATACAGATGATACCACCACGTTTGCGGAAAGACTAAATTACATAGTTTTGAAGAGACAAAGACAATAAGAGCGGCTGAATCCGGCGACAATGTGATGAAGACTCAAGGGAAAACCACATGGCGGCCTGTTAAAACCACCGCACATGGCTGGAACAAAGAAGACACTGACATGGTGTGTTTTAAATGTGGAATCAAAGGCCACAGAGCAAAAGCATGTCATCAGAAGTCATGGTGTAGTCTTTGCAAAAGTGACTCACACAAAAACGCCACGTGCAGGCGTAAGAACAAGGACAGCAAGGAAAAACAAGATGGAGTGAGTAAATTCTCCGAAAACGCAGACGAGGACTAGGTGTTCAAGGTAAGAGATGGAGAGACCCGGAACCAGCTTCAGCCAGCATGCAGCATACAGGAGAGAGGTCTGATCGTGGACATGGGGACTACCTCTCACGTTATAAATACTATAACTATGTTCAAAAATTTTGACAGCACGTTCAAGCCAGAATATCACAGTGTTGAGCTGGCAGACGGCACCCGGTGCAGCGGGGTCGCTCAGCAGAGGGGAAATGCCCAGGTTTCTCTCATCAACGACAGAGGACAGCGATGCAAGGCGATAATGAGAGACGCTTTATCCGTACCGTAGTACCCCCAGAGCATCTTCTCAGTGAAGGCGGCCACAACAAATGGGGCTACGGTTGTTTTTAAAGAGGAAGACGCCCTGATAACCAGAGACGGTACCAGGTTCAACATTCATGTTTATGGTAGACTGTATTATTTGCATACTGAAACTGAGTCTGATGATAAATGTAACACATGTCACGACATACAGACATGGCATGAGATACTAGGCCACTGTAACTATGACAATGTTATTAAGTTGCACAATGTTTTTGAAAGTATGCAAATTAGGGGCAAAATGGTCAGACCTGAACAAGAGTGGGAAGTGTGTAATCAAGGAAAGCTCTCCCAAACCAGAAATAGGCACCCTGATACCAAAGCATACCTTTATATATGGTACACACAGACCTTGCAGATCCTGTAGTTACAGAGTCAATAGATGGTTACAAATATGCAAAGTCATTTACTGAAAACTATTCAGGCGCAGTGTTTGTATATATTCTAAAGAGTAAAAGCAACACTGTACGAGCAACGGAAAAGTTTACGTGCAGCGATTTCGAAACACTTAAGGGAAAACCAAATCAGACATGAAACGTCAGCTCCGTATTCCCCACACCAGAACGGGACAGATGCATGGGTAGACGCATGCTAGTTGAGAGTGCACTACCAAAGCAGCTATGGAACTACGCTGTGCAAACGGCAGCAATGGTACGCAACAGATGTTTTAACAGGCAGACCGGGCAGACTCCTTATGAGCTGCTGACAGAAAAGAAACCAAATAGATCCAAAATGTAAAAGTTTGGATCTGTATGCTACACATACAAACAGGACAAGGGAAAACTAGATTCCAGGTGTAACCAAGGGCATTTTGTAGGTCATGACAAGAACAGCCCGGCGTATCTGGTGTATCATCCAGAAACACAGGCTATTGAAAAACAGACACAGACACATGAGTCAGATCCAAGTGATGGCCATGACAGTGTGATGTCCAGGACTAGTGAGACAATGGGTCAATAGGAGTACAGAAAATGCTCCAGACCCAAATGTATGGAGAAGTACACTAGGTGACAGTGGTGACTCTAATCAAACTGAACAATGTGAGACAAGTGGTGAACCTGAGAGAAGGAGGTATCCAAATAGAGAAAGAAAGGACACCAGGCTACTTAGGTGACTTCATAACCGACGATGGTGATAGCGATGGGATTCATATCACAATAGACTACTGCTAGAGAGTGGTGTGTGGCATTCCACAGACATTTGGGGAAGCAATGGGCTCTGCTAACTCAAAAGAAGGGGTAAAAGCCATGGATGAAGGAATCCAGTCTTAAACAAGAACAAGACCTTTACCCCAACATCGCTCTCAACAGCCAGAGAATGGGACTTGACTATGGGGAAACGTTTTCACCCACGGCAGACCTGACGAGTGTAAGTGTGGTGTTACAGAAAGCTGCACAAGAGAATTTGCTTCTGCAAAGGAACGTGAAAACGGCGTACTTGCACGCTCCCATGGACTATGAGATCCACATCAATCCACCAGAGGGCTATCAGGAGAAAGAGGGTTTTGTTTATAAACTTGAAAAATCACTATGTCCTCAAACAATCTGGGCGAATTTGGAATAGAATTTTACACAATTGCCTTATTGAGGATGGGTTCACACAAAACCCAGCTGACCACTGTGTCTATGCCAAAGAGACAATAGAAGGAAAAGTTATCATGATCATATGGGTTGATGACTTGATCAATACTGCAAAAAATACAGAGAGACTGGAAAAGGTGAAAGAAATGCTTGCAGAAAAGTTTAAAATGAAAAATTTAGTCAAACCAAAACATTTTCTAGGAATTGATTTTAGTCAGTCAGATGGGTGTGTAATGATGTCACAGGAAAGGTGCACTAACAAAATACTTGAGGGTTTTAATATGCGGGACTGTAGGACCAGAGAAACACTGTGAGCAAACGCTGGAATGTACTGAGGATGCAGTAAAGATGGATGATGTTAGGATGTACAGGGAGGCTGTAGGAAGTATTTTATACCTGACTACTTGCACTAGACCCGATTTAAGTTTTGTAGAAAGCAGGTTATTGCAGTACTTCGCTGAGCCTACAGAGGAGCAGTGTGTCACTGTGAAGCATGTCCTAAGATATCTGAAAAGGCACGGTAGAGAAAGGGTTACATTTTAAGAGAAACAACAGTGAGAAGCTAGGTATACAGGCATACAGTGACGCAGACTGGGCAGCTGATACCAGTGAGACGCAGTGCCCCAGGATACTGTAAGCCTCAGTCAAAACAGTGCCCTAGTCTCTTGGAAGACTAGAAAGCAACCTACTGTTGCACTATCCACATGCGAGGCAGAATACATGGCACTGGCTTCAACCATACAGGCGTGCCTATACCTAGAGCAGTTACTGAGAGGTATAGATAACTACAAGTACACACAAACTATAGTGCATGAGGACAATCAGGGTACAATCGCTCTTGCCAAAAATCCAGTAAAAAGACGCAAGTCCAAACATGTTGATATAAAGTATCACTTCATCAGGTCTACTGTGAATGAGGGAAGGGTGACTTTGATGTATTGTTCTACTTATAACATGGTTGCTGATATAATGACCTGTAAACAAGTTGAAACTGAAGTGGTTTGCAGGTGCTCTTTTTGGAAACTGATACAGTATGTGTATGAAAGAGGTCCACATTCATTTTGTTTTTGCTTAGAGTATAGCAACCTGAGCACAAGTGGGGGTGTTAAGGTATGTTCATTATGTCCTCAGTTATATATGTGAATGTAATGTTATACTGTTCTGTGTTGTGTATGCTTATTATGCCACAAGGAAGCGCTGAGATGCAGGTTGACGCATAGCGTCATGTTCTAGTGATCTTGCTGTAATTCAACTTAGCTTTAGTAGCTGTATGACCGTGAGACTGATGTGTCTGCAGTGAATAAATAAATACGCCATTAGGCTAAAGATGGCTCATCGCCATGTTCTCTCTTTTCATCCGAATGCAACGTTAACTGCAACATTGAGGCAAAACTCAACAGCGGGATAAATCAAGTTTTATCATATCATAAATAATCTCAGAGTATGTTGTAATGATACTCAAGCGTAGATTAAAACTGGAAGACCAAAAGTCGCCTGCCACACATACTCCTCCCTCTACACGCCTGCGCCTGAGCTCAACATCAATCAGCCTCAGCTGCAAAGTAACACACCTCTGCTCATCATGGCTGCATTTAAACAGAGCCATTCAATTCTCTGCTGCTCAAGCTGCTGATCGAGCAGCAACCCACCTCCTCCCCATCACCACCTCTTCAGTGGAGTATCATGTCATGTCTTTGGCTCAGCGTTCTTCGCCACCAGGGTCTAGGCCCCAGGGTCTAGGCCCCAGGGGGTTTGCAAGCAAATAATTTCTATTAAACTTCCTCTTGCATACGTCATTCAGTATTCCTGACTAAAGAACATTTCCTGTGCAAATGCAATAAATATATTAGTACCCTATCATTGTCTTTACAGATAGTGTGGTGGAATTTGCAAGGATCTGCCTTATAAAGCTTATAACATCTGTGTGTTAATACAATGTCTATCATTTGAATCCAGTCACTGACAGCACATATATTGCCTGGGTTTGTTTTACCAGACCGTACAAAATAGAAGAAACTGCACGAGTACGCAGATGTTTAAGTTTGGGTGAAAATATTATTAATTGTGAAATTACCTCCTCAGAAGGCCTCCTCCTGTCCGGCAGCACTAGTGTGTTGGCTTGGCTCCCTGGGACTATAGTGGAGCCTACGCTCATTCTGGGTCCCACTAACATGTAGCGCTTGTCTCCAGATCTGTACTGGATGCTGTGGCACAGAGTCCCGTCATAGTTTGTGTCCTGTAAGTACTTGGAGGTGTAGTCAGTGCTGGACTTGGAGCACTGCATTGCAATCAGCACAATGATACTGATGATGAACAGAGCTGATACCGAGGCCAGAGTTATCATCAGGTAAAAAGTCACATTAGTGTCCTCAGCGTCTTTAGCGGAGCTCTTCACGTCAGAAGCTGCAGACGCCTCTTTGGCCTCCACCACTTTGACAAGCACAGTAGCTGTAGCTGAGAGCGACACGTTGCCATTGTCTTTGACCAGTATGACGAGTTTGTGCTGGGCTTCGTCTGTCTCTGTGAATGAGCGAAGTGTCCTGATCTGTCCTGTGTAGCGGTCCAAGCCAAACAGACTGTGGTCAGTCACTTCCTGCAGTGAAAACAGCAGCCAGCCGTTATATCCGATGTCCGCGTCATAGGCCCTGACTTTAGTCACCAAGTGTCCTGCGTTCACATTGCGGGGGATCTCCTCCACTCCTTCAGCAGAACCGTTAGAGCTGACTGGATACAGAATGACTGGAGCGTTGTCGTTTTGGTCCAGAATGAACACATGCACTGCCACGTTGCTGCTCAGTGACGGAGTCCCAGAGTCTGAGGCCACCACTTGAAACTGGAACGACTTTAAAGTCTCAAAGTCAAAGCTTTTCAGGGCCGTGATTTGACCATTTTCAGCGTTCACGTTTAAAACGAGCGCCACGTCCTTCTCTTGTCCTGAACGCGCAATGCTGTAGGAAACATCTGCGTTTTCATTCTTATCTTTGTCTGTTGCAGTTACAGAGAACAGGGACGTCCCTGCCGCGTTATTTTCTACTATATAAAAGTACAGAGGATTGTGTTCAAACTGTGGACTGTTGTCGTTCACATCTAATATCTGAATACTGAGAGTTTTAGTGGTGGATAAAGGAGGCTCTCCACAGTCAGTGGCTTTTATTCTTATGTCATAATTAGAAACCTTCTCTCTGTCCAGGAAGTCTTTAGTGACAACTGAATATGTGTTTTCTTTATACGAGGGTTTGAGCTCAAAAGGCACGTTGTTTGTGATGTGAGCGATGATTTTGCCATTCACTCCAGAGTCTTTGTCTTTGACGCGGATGAGAGAAACTACTGTCCCTGGTTTGGAGTTTTCAGACACTGTGTTTGACAAAGAGGTCACTTCTATTTCAGGGGAATTATCATTAACATCTAGGATTTTTATTATTACTCTACATTCTCCTGTCAATGGGGGCGTGCCTTTATCTGACGCTTGCACTTCTAATTCATATTGATGATTTTCTTCATAATTCACAGTCCTTTTGAAATAATCTCCCTGTGTTTTGATCTAATTCAAAAATGTCATGTACTCCTTGTTACAGAGATTTTGAGAAACGATACTCAATTTCTCCATTTGTTCCCTCGTCGGCGTCTGTTGCTGTGAGCCTAAAAATAGAGGCTCCTGGTTTTAAATTTTCTTTCGCTGTAATTTCATAAATCTCTTGACTAAAAACTGGTATGTTGTCGTTACTATCCAGAACAATAATGGAAACATTCAGTGTCCCTGATCTTCGGGGTTTACCTCCATCAACTGCTGTCACCACCAGAAAGTGTTCACTGCTTTGTTCTCTGTCCAGCATGTTTTTTCAGAACTAGAAATGGGATTTTATCACCATCAGTTTCGCGGATATTGATGTCAAAATGTTCGTTGGCAGACAACGTGTAGGTTCGAATAGAGTTTACTCCTGCGTCAGGATCATTAGCAGGATGAAGCTGGAATCTTTTTCCAGCCGGTGTTTGTTCTGCTATTTCTATAGTTTCGTTTCCTTTAGGAAAAGTGGGAACGTGATCATTGACGTCAGTGACTTCTACGACCACATAATGAACTTCCAAAGGGTTTTCTACCAGAACCTTCAGCTCCATCAGGCACGTACCGCTGCCCTGACACAGCTGCTCTCTGTCAATGTGGCCGTGAACGTACAAAGCGCCGTCATCTGCGTTTACTGCAAAAATGTCTTCATTTGATTCAGAAACAACACGAAACCGTCTCTCAAGCAAAGAGGACACATCCAGACCAATATCCTTTGCGACATTTCCAACAACAGTCCCGTCCCTCACCTCCTCCGGGACAGAGTATCTGATCTGAGCCACAGCGCACTGTCCGAAACACAGCAGCAGAACTGAGCACAAACCGATCCAAGAGCAGATCCCTGGAAGAAAAGGCCGCTTCATTTTCCTCTAAAATCCCTTTAAAAGCATCTATTGAAATAAAAACGTGTGACAAAAAGCATAGTCTGCATAACGCTACGCACAAGTGACCTCTCCGCTTCAGTAAAATGGAAACAAAGCGCTGCGAGAGGAGGGACAAACAAGTGGAGACGTTTGTCTGTTGGAGACTGCCACCGTGAGGCCAAAGAAAGAAGAACTCAGCTAATATATTATAACAATATGATAATCGTACATTAATTGAACTATCGGGTTCAGTCTTTAACCAATAGTTCAATACGGAGCGGCAAATCATTTGGACAACAATGTACAACTGAAATCCTGGCTCAACCAGCACCATGGACAGCGGTCCTGAAAACACACAATTGCGAAAAAGAGCGCTCCATTGTATTTCAAAACACTTTAAGCTCACTCACTGTGATGTTTAACACACAGGGTAACACTGTACCAACAGGTGGCGCTTTCGTATCATTTTTGAGTGTGAGAGAGCTCAGAAACGTTTAGTCTGCCATTAGAAAATGTAGATTCTTCACATTAAATAAATAGGTTATAAAATAATTTGTTTTTTTTCACCGAAATAATTATCTTATTGTTGTAACCGTATGTAACCCAGGTCTAAAACCAAATTCCTAATTTAAATGTAAACCACAAAGGAATGGCTAACATATTTAAGTACTAAATGAAAATGTGTACTTTGTTTATTTATTTATTTCTATATGTGCCAACACAATGCACTGTAGTGCAGCATATAAGTAGCGTAGCAACAGCCAAAACGTTACGTTCAGATCCACGGTGCACGCGACCCCGCTTCCCCTCTCTGACCGGAGTCAAGCAACGAGACACACGCAGCGAGACACACGCAAAGCTCAGCTCCATCATTTCAACAATTGAAAAGCGCAAATCAGAGGAAAAATGACATAAATCCAAGCCAAAAGAAGAGTCCTGTTGCTGGCCTGGAGTTAAAGTTGACTGATTGGTAAGAGTTACTTTGTAGTTACCACCGCAACTTTAACGTCCGCAAATGACCAACGGCCGCTACACTAACGGACCTCCTCACTGTTTTAGAGCAGAGAAAAGAGAGAAAGACAAGCTGAGCGCAGATTCCGACAACGTTCCGCAAAGGAACGAGAAAGGATTGGTAAAGAATTGCTTGATTGATGATGTGTTGGCTGTTTGTCTAAATGTTCTAACCGGTCCATATTGATGACAGAGGCAGTTATCTGCGCGAGCGCTCACATCCAGAGCCGTGACGTCACGGTGTCCCGGCTCATACGCACGTGAATTGGTGAGAAATGTTGTCTGTGACTAAAATGCTATTGTTTATTGTTTATTGTATAAAGGGTTGAAATAATCCTATTAATGGTTTATGTATATGAATAATTAGAAAATGTTTGCATACAGAAAATCCCTTTTTGTTGCTGTACTGTACATGAGAAATATGTTGTACCTTTGAATTAGAATTAGATTAATTGTCATGACTGGAGCAAGAAATTTATTAGCCTGTCTTTTTAATACAGGTCAGGTCTTTTTAATGAGATTTGGAAACATCTTTGAAGAAGACCACTAGATGGCGAGCCACCCCACCTGAGCCAAAACTGGATGATCCCATTGCAGACCGCATGAGCTATCGGCTGCGTAGGACCGTGTCAGCTGACCACCTTGAACAAAACTTTAAGTGCACTCACAGACTTTAAGGATTTATTTTTGGGTTATTTTGAAGGCGCCTATTTATTTTGTATTTTATTATACATTACATTGTATTTGTGGTAACAATTCTTGACATAATTAACTAAATCAATTTACATTTAACTATTGTCTGTCTTTCATTGTGGCTATAGTTCCAACACTTTACATTTGAGCTCTTTAAGAACCTAGTCGTTCATGTTAATTCCACGTACAACACGCACTACATCAAAATAAGCAATTATCACGAAAATGTGTTCCAAACAAAAGGCTAAATACGATCAGAGATAGAAAAATACGAAAATGAACAGTAAATAAACATACACAGTGACTTGTATGGTAAGTCAGGCCGCTGTAGAGAACGTGACGGAGTCAGGACCTCATATTGCATTTGAGATTGTTTGGCACTTGAAACGGATAATGCTAAAAATAATGAATATTTAATGAAAGCAAGTTCCTAAATCACACATATACTACTACCATTAAAATTAAGGCGATAAAACATAGGGCTCCTAAATAACTATTGTATCCACTCGCAAATACTTTACCTCTTCAGAAGGCCTCCTCCTGTCCGGCAGCACTAGTGTGTTGGCTTGGCTCCCTGGGACTATAGTGGAGCCTACGCTCATTCTGGGTCCCACTAACATGTAGCGCTTGTCTCCAGATCTGTACTGGATGCTGTGGCACAGAGTCCCGTCATAGTTTGTGTCCTGTAAGTACTTGGAGGTGTAGTCAGTGCTGGACTTGGAGCACTGCATTGCAATCAGCACAATGATACTGATGATGAACAGAGCTGATACCGAGGCCAGAGTTATCATCAGGTAAAAAGTCACATTAGTGTCCTCAGCGTCTTTAGCGGAGCTCTTCACGTCAGAAGCTGCAGACGCCTCTCTGGCCTCCACCACTTTGACAAGCACAGTAGCTGTAGCTGAGAGCGACACGTTGCCATTGTCTTTGACCAGTATGACGAGTTTGTGCTGGGCCTCGTCTGTCTCTGTGAATGAGCGAAGTGTCCTGATCTGTCCTGTGTAGCGGTCCAAGCCAAACAGACTGTGGTCAGTCACTTCCTGCAGTGAAAACAGCAGCCAGCCGTTATATCCGATGTCCGCGTCATAGGCCCTGACTTTAGTCACCAAGTGTCCTGCGTTCACATTGCGGGGGATCTCCTCCACTCCTTCAGCAGAACCGTTAGAGCTGACTGGATACAGAATGACTGGAGCGTTGTCGTTTTGGTCCAGAATGAACACATGCACTGACACGTTGCTGCTCAGTGACGGAGTCCCAGAGTCTGAGGCCACCACTTGAAACTGGAACGACTTTAAAGTCTCAAAGTCAAAGCTTTTCAGGGCCGTGATTTGACCATTTTCACTGTTAATATTGAGAAATGAAGTCACTTTATTTTCCTTGCTTCCGTCTCTGTAAAGATGATAAGAAATATGAGAGTTCTCTCCTTCATCTTGATCCACAGCTTGAACTGAAAACAGCTGCGCTCCTCGGTCGTTGCCCTCAGTGATATAAAAACTATATGGTTTCAGCACAAACTCTGGGCTGTTGTCGTTCACGTCAGAAATGACAATTAAAATGTTCTTTTCAGAAGTTAGTGAGGGCTGACCGTGATCTTTGGCAACTACAGACAGTACGTACTGAGGCTGCGTCTCTCTGTCCAGAGCAGATTTAGTCACGAGTGAAAACATTTTGTCCTGTAGAGAAGGAGACAGTGTAAAGGGAACATCTCCTTCTATTGAACATGTGACTTTCCCGTTCAGCCCAGAGTCCCTGTCATTAACACTGATCAGAGCCACAGTAGTCCCGGGCCGAGAGTCTTCAGGGATGGAGCTGGAAAACGAAGTGACTTCAATCTCAGGCGCATTGTCGTTCACGTCCACTATTTTTACAATAATCTTTTTTTGAGTGGCTAAAGGATGAAACCCCTTATCCGAAGCCTTTACGTCAATAACATACTTTTCCTTCTCCTCATAATTCAATAAACCTTTGACAATTATTTCTCCTGTCTGTAGATTTATGTCAAACGAATCTCTAAGTCGTTGTTTTACGCTGTTACTAAACGAATACATCACTTCTCCATTTGTTCCTTCGTCTGAATCAGTGGCGTTCACCTGTATTATAGTCGTCCCTATTGCTACATTTTCTGTAAGTGACACAGATAATTCACCACCAGTAAAAACAGGAGCGTTGTCATTTACGTCTAAAACATTTACATTAATTCTCGTCTGACCAGATTTGGGAGGTTTTCCTCCATCTACAGCCGTCAGCACAAGGGAGTGACGCTTTTCTGTTTCTCTGTCTAATGGTTTTTGTACAATTAATGTTGGTATTTTACCATCTTCTTCCATATCTGTAACTTCTAATCGAAAATTTTCATTTGCACTGAGCCTGTACTGCTGTATAGAAAATGACCCACTGTCCGCGTCTCTGGCTGCTTTGATGTCAATCCGCACTCCCGGTAACACGGACTCAGAAATGTCCAGTGTTGTTTCTAATTCAGGGAAAACTGGAGCATTGTCGTTGATGTCCTGCACCTCCACTCCAACATAATGCACCTCCAGGGGGTTTTCTAACACAGTCTTTAGATTGATTAAACACGTCGTGGTCTTTTCACACACCTCTTCTCGGTCAATCTTACGGCTCACGTACAAATGACCGTCTTTCTGATCCACGTGAAAAAGCGACTCTGCAGCAGCAGACACAATGCGATACTTCCTGTCTCTGAGCGCACTCTTATCCAAACCCAGATCCTTTGCTACATTCCCGACGATGGTTCCTTCTTTCACTTCTTCAGTGATAGAATATCTCAGCTGCGCAGAAGCTATTGTCCACAAAGCTACAGCAAAAAGAGAGCTCCTCCAGCACATAGCGCGACACGGTCTTAGGCCCATGACTGGAAACATTATCCAACACGTGAAAAGTGCTCTGATTATAATAAGTTATGAATCCATCGATTGAAAAACACTGTTTAACTCACTCAGCCCGATCCGCGATGTAAGACGCGTAGGTTTTTGTTCCCGACAGAAAGTGGGAGGAACAAAATCAGACTCAGCCCACAGCGTTTGAACAGACTGTGTTACAGTGACACCATGTGATGTACGTGAAAATGATGTTGTTGATTCTTGTGTTCGGCTATAATTCTCCTTTTCAAAACAAGTATTTAACAAATTATGAAGACACGTTTCAGCACCATGGAGAGTCTAAAATTACGAACGCAGCTTCTTGGGCATGATGTAGAGATGTAATGATAACAGTAACATTTAACTTATATTTGGATTATCAGAGTGTGTTGTACTGTGTTTACAGTAGAATAATGGTACAATATTTGCCTTATAAGCTTAGGAAAAAAGTGTTCAATCTTCAGTAGTAGGTGTTACAAACTGCAGTAGGCCTGACAGGCTTTAGTTATTTTTTATTTTTTTTGAAAATTTAAAGTTTAATATTACACTCAAATGCGTATATTATTTGTGCCATTTTTGTTTGAGTGCGAGAGAGTCCAGAAGCGCTTTAGTAATTATTAATAGGTTTGTAAATACATCTAGTTTATTGTTTTTCTCAAGAAGAATTATCCATTTGTTTCATCTATACACCACATACTACATCAATATGCAATTATCAAGAAAATGTGTTTAAATCAAAAGCCTGAAATATTATAGGAGCCTGATGAATATACAAATGTACAGTAAATAAACAAACGCATGTATTTCTTATCAATAAACATGTAATTATACTTTGGTGGGAAGTCAGGCCACTGTCAGGCTTACATGAATATCTACGTATGCTGTTTGGATTATGTAATGCCCCTGCAACTTTTCAGCGCTTAATGCAAGGAACAATGAGTGACCTCATCTTCCTATAATTGTAAACTTGGACAACCTGCTCGTGTTTTGAATAACACCATGAACAGCTTGAAACTTTCCTCCTGAGACTGAAAAAGACAGGGTTAAAAGTAAAAGTTGAAATAAGCAGATTTCTCCAATTTCTTAGGTCATCTGGGTGTAGGCACTGATCCCGAGAAAGTTAGCATTGGCAAGTCTAGCAGGACCCCTTCATGATGTCGTTAATACCTGTATTAAGGAGAAGACCCCATCTAAGGCCATTTAAGGCCATCTTAGGTTATGCCGACTTTCAGTTACCATGCATTCTTGAGACTGATGCAAGTAACCTTGGTTTAGGCGTGGTTATCTAACAAGTTCAGTATGGAAAGAAGAAAGCCATAGTAGTAGTAAGTAATCTTTATTTATATATATACCACCTTTTCACTGCAGATCTGAGTCTCAAAGCGGTTTACAATTGTTAATTTTGGGCAATTGTCTCTCACCCCACACAGAGATGGGAGCAGGGTCACCAGTACAGGAGGCGCATGCTAGAACTATTGGACATATTTTTAGTGGTAGGGGAAACCGGAGTACCCGGAGGAAACCTACGCAGACACGGGGAGAACATGGAAACTCCACTCAGAAAGGCCCTGGTCCCTGGTTGTAACCAACTCAGTGAAGAGTATAGTGAGCAAAGATGAGTTGAATAAGTGCATCGGAGTAGGAATCTACAAAGTGAGTTTGTAAGAGTGGTCAAGCGTTTAAGAACAGTACCAGTTGTATGTTGATAGACTTTATCACCATAGTCAATTATTGGCAGCACGAGTTGCTGAATTATTCTTTTCGTATTGTTGTGTGTGAAGCAGCTAATTGATCTAAAGCTGAGCCAGAAGAGCATAAGTTGTATTTAGTAAACAATCTATGTGTACTTTTAAAGAGAGTTCTGGATCAAGCCAAAGCCTGAGATTGTTGAGGGTTTCAGTATTCTGCAGTAGAGTTTCATCCAAATAATGAATTGGCAGATTATGTAGGTTTATACTCATTGGTTTCCTGAACAACATATCACTTTTTACTGTTTGTAAGAAGATTATTTTGGATTAGCTATTTTGGATGTGGTCCTCATTCCTGTATGTGACATAAGTTGTTATGAGAGATAATAATAATAATAATGCATCGGTTTTATATAGCGCTTTTTTGGACACTCAAAGACACTTCACATGTGTCATTATTCATTCACTCCACACAGTGGTGATAAACTACTACTGTAGCCACAGCTGCCCTGGGGCACACTGACAGAAGCGAGGCAACCAGTATGTGCCATCGGCCCCTCCGACCACCACCAACCATTTATACACACACCAGACTCATTCTAGGCAATGGGGGTGAAGTGTCTTGCCTAAGGACACAACGGCAGTTTGGCACTTTACAGCCGCAGCCGCCCCACTGTGGCTGGTGTTCCCAGAGGTTAAGTGTCTTGCCAAGGACACAACAACAGTAGTTGAGTTGTCGATGGTGAAAGTCTTGAGCGGGGCTTGAACCCACAACCTTCTGGCTCAAAGGCCAACACTCTACCAACTGAGCTACTGCCGCCCAGTAGCTCAGTTGGTGAAGAGGAAGATAACTGTCACCAGCATTAAAGTGAACATTAAATTTGCTTATAATTTTCGGTAGATCGTTCTAGAATATGAGTGGTCTTAGTGCGCACCCTTGAAGACTTCCTCTTACTGTTGAGGTAGAGGATAATTCACTTCAAACTGATGTAGATTGTTTTCTTAAATGTAAGTAGGAGTTAAACCACAGCAAAGTGCTTTTAGACTTTTTGAGTACAGCTTGTCCAGTACGAGGTAGTGATCAACGGTATCGAAAGCCTTGGTAAAATCAAGGAAGATTGCTCATATTTTTTCATATTTCGGTTGTCAAATTCAGTAAATGTTTAGTTTGAGAAAAAGTAAGATTGTCAAATTTAAGCTCATAAATAACTATAGTGTTCAATCCAATCGCAATTACTTGACTCTTACCTCCTCAGAGGGCCGCCTCCTGTCCGGCAGCACTAGTGTGTTGGCTTGGCTCCCTGGGACTATAGTGGAGCCTACGCTCATTCTGGGTCCCACTAACATGTAGCGCTTGTCTCCAGATCTGTACTGGATGCTGTGGCACAGAGTCCCATCATAGTTTGTGTCCTGTAAGTACTTGGAGGTGTAGTCAGTGCTGGACTTGGAGCACTGCATTGCAATCAGCACAATGATACTGATGATGAACAGAGCTGAGACCGAGGCCAGAGTTATCATCAGGTAAAAAGTCACATTAGTGTCCTCAGCATCTTTAGCGGAGCTCTTCACGTCAGAAGCTGCAGACGCCTCTCTGGCCTCCACCACTTTGACAAGCACAGTAGCTGTAGCTGAGAGCGACACGTTGCCATTGTCTTTGACCAGTATGACGAGTTTGTGCTGGGCCTCGTCTGTCTCTGTGAATGAGCGAAGTGTCCTGATCTGTCCTGTGTAGCGGTCCAAGCCAAACAGACTGTGGTCAGTCACTTCCTGCAGTGAAAACAGCAGCCAGCCGTTATATCCGATGTCCGCGTCATAGGCCCTGACTTTAGTCACCAAGTGTCCTGCGTTCACATTGCGGGGGATCTCCTCCACTCCTTCAGCAGAACCGTTAGAGCTGACTGGATACAGAATGACTGGAGTGTTGTCGTTTTTGGTCCAGAATGAACACATGCACTGACACGTTGCTGCTCAGTGACGGAGTCCCAGAGTCTGAGGCCACCACTTGAAACTGGAACGACTTTAAAGTCTCAAAGTCAAAGCTTTTCAGGGCCGTGATTTGACCATTCTCAGCGTTCACGTTTAAAAAGAGCGCCACGTCCTTCTCTTGTCCTGAACGCGCAATGCTGTAGGAAACATGTGCGTTTTCATTCTTATCTTTGTCTGTTGCAGTTACAGAGAACAGGGACGTCCCTGCCGCGTTATTTTCTACTATATAAAAGTACAGAGGATTGTGTTCAAACTGTGGACTGTTGTCGTTCATATCTAATATCTGAATACTGAGAGTTTTAGTGGTGGATAAAGGAGGCTCTCCACAGTCAGTGGCTTTTATTCTTATGTCATAATTAGAAACCTTCTCTCTGTCCAGGAAGTCTTTAGTGACAACTGAATATGTGTTTTCTTTATACGAGGGTTTGAGCTCAAAAGGCACGTTGTTTGTGATGTGAGCGATGATTTTACCATTCACTCCAGAGTCTTTGTCTTTGACGCGGATGAGAGAAACTACTGTCCCTGGTTTGGAGTTTTCAGACACTGTGTTTGACAAAGAGGTCACTTCTATTTCAGGGGAATTATCATTAACATCTAGGACTTTTATTATTACTCTGCATTCTCCTGTCAATGGGGGCATATCTTTATCTGACGCTTGAACTTCCAATTCATACAAATCATTTTCTTCATGATTTATTGGTCCCTTTAAAATAATATCCCCTGTTTTTGGGTCTAGTTCAAAAATATCATAGATTCTTCTGTTTAATGTTTTTGATAAATTATATTCAATTTCTCCATTCGATCCTTCATCTGGGTCTGTTGCTGTGAGCCTAAAAATAGAGAAGCCTGGTTTTAAATTTTCTTTTGCTGTAATTTCATAAATCTCTTGACTAAAAACTGGTATGTTGTCGTTTATATCAAGAACAATAATGGAAACATTCAGTGTCCCTGATCTTCGGGGTTTACCTCCATCAACTGCAGTCACCACCAGAAAATGTTCACTGCTTTGTTCTCTGTCCAGCATATTTTTCAGTACCAGAAATGGGATTTTTCCACTTTTGGTTTCACGCATATTGATGTCAAAATGTTCGTTAGCAGACAACGTGTAGGTTCGAATAGAGTTTACTCCTGCGTCAGGATCATTAGCAGGGTGAAGCTGGAATCGTTTTCCAGCCGGTGTTTGTTCTGCTATTTCTATAGTTTCGTTTCCTTTAGGAAAAGTGGGAGCGTGATCATTGACGTCAGTGACTTCTACAACCACATAATGAACTTCCAAAGGGTTTTCTACCAGAACCTTCAGCTCCATCAGGCACGTACCGCTGCCCTGACACAGCTGCTCTCTGTCAATGTGGCCGTGGACGTACAAAGCGCCGTCATCTGCGTTTACTGCAAAAATATCTTCATTTGATTCAGAAACAACACGGAACCGTCTCTCACGCAAAGAGGACACATCCAGACCAAGATCCTTTGCGACATTTCCAACAACAGTCCCGTCCCTCACCTCCTCCGGGACAGAGTATCTGATCTGAGCCACAGCGCACTGTCCGAAACACAGCAGCAGAACTGAGCACAAACCGATCCAAGAGCAGATCCCTGGTAGAAAAGACCGCTTCATTTTCCTCTAAAATCCCTTTAAAAGCATCTATTGAAATAAAAACGTGAGACAAAAAGCATAGTCCGCATAACGCTACGCACAAGTGACCTCTCCGCTTCAGTAAAATGGAAACAAAGCGCTGCGAGAGGAGGGACAAACAAGTGGAGACGTTTGTCTGTTGGCGACTGCCACCGTGAGGCCAAAAAAGGAAGAGCTGATTTAATATGTTATAACATTATTAATATGAACTACATCGAGCCCAGCCTTTAACTAATAGTTAAAAAACGAGGCAGGAAAACATTTAAACAACAATGTGCAACTGAAATACTGTCTCATTCAGCACCATGGACAGCGTTTGTGAAAACACACAATAGAGTAAAGGAACACTCCTCTGTATTTCTAAATGGTTAAAGCTAATTCACGGTGCTGTTTAACACACTGGACACGTGACATTGCATTGTCATGAATTAAAAACCATAACCAGTGTACATTCAGTGTCACCAGTGTACCAACAGGTGGCGCTATCGGGCCATTTATGTTTGAGTGTGAGAGAGCTCAGAAACCTTAGTCTACTATTGTAGAATGTATTGTCTTTGAATAAAGAATCTTTTCTGTTTGTTTTTCTCCAGTGGAATTATACCGTTGTTTGAACTGTACAACACGCACTATATCAATATAATGACGAAAGTATGTTTCAAATGAAAGTCGGACATTTTATAAGAGAAGGAAGAATACGCACATAAACAGTAAACAAACAAACTGATCAATTTCGTAATGATGAACATGTAAAGAGACTTTTTTTTTATCCATAAAGATTATATAATCTTATCAAAAGTCAGGCCGCTGTAGATAAAGTGAAAGTCAGAATCTAAATGCGCTATTAATTATAATAAACAATTTTTAATCAATGCAATACCCTAAACACACATGTTCGATTAAAATGTAAAACAGAAAGATCAAATACAGGCTCGTAAAAAACTATTATGTTTTATCCAATTGCAATTACTTGACTCTTACCTCCTCAGAGGGCCGCCTCCTGTCCGGCAGCACTAGTGTGTTGGCTTGGCTCCCTGGGACTATAGTGGAGCCTACGCTCATTCTGGGTCCCACTAACATGTAGCGCTTGTCTCCAGATCTGTACTGGATGCTGTGGCACAGAGTCCCGTCATAGTTTGTGTCCTGTAAGTACTTGGAGGTGTAGTCAGTGCTGGACTTGGAGCACTGCATTGCAATCAGCACAATGATACTGATAATGAACAGAGCTGAGACCGAGGCTAGAGTTATCATCAGGTAAAAAGTCACATTAGTGTCCTCAGCGTCTTTAGCGGAGCTCTTCACGTCAGAAGCTGCAGACGCCTCTCTGGCCTCCACCACTTTGACAAGCACAGTAGCTGTAGCTGAGAGCGACACGTTGCCATTGTCTTTGACCAGTATGACGAGTTTGTGCTGGGCCTCGTCTGTCTCTGTGAATGAGCGAAGTGTCCTGATCTGTCCTGTGTAGCGGTCCAAGCCAAACAGACTGTGGTCAGTCACTTCCTGCAGTGAAAACAGCAGCCAGCCGTTATATCCGATGTCCGCGTCATAGGCCCTGACTTTAGTCACCAAGTGTCCTGCGTTCACATTGCGGGGGATCTCCTCCACTCCTTCAGCAGAACCGTTAGAGCTGACTGGATACAGAATGACTGGAGCGTTGTCGTTTTGGTCCAGAATGAACACATGCACTGACACGTTGCTGCTCAGTGACGGAGTCCCAGAGTCTGAGGCCACCACTTGAAACTGGAACGACTTTAAAGTCTCAAAGTCAAAGATTTTCAGAGCCGTGATTTGACCATTTTCACTGTTAATATTGAGAAATGAAGTCACTTTATTTTCCTTGCTTCCGTCTCTGTAAAGATGATAAGAAATATGAGAGTTTTCTCCTTCATCTTGATCCACAGCCTGAACTGAAAACAGCTGCGCTCCTCGGTCGTTGCCCTCAGTGATATAAAAACTATATGGTTTCAGCACAAACTCTGGGCTGTTGTCGTTCACGTCAGAAATGACAATTAAAATGTTCTTTTCAGAAGTGAGTGAGGGCTGACCGTGATCTTTGGCAACTACAGACAGTACGTGCTGAGGCTGCGTCTCTCTGTCCAGAGCAGATTTAGTCACGAGTGAAAACATTTTGTCCTGTAGAGAAGGAGACAGTGTAAAGGAAACATCTCCTTCTATTGAACATGTGACTTTCCCGTTCAGCCCAGAGTCCCTGTCATTAACACTGATCAGAGCCACAGTAGTCCCGGGCCGAGAGTCTTCAGGGATGGAGCTGGAAAACGAAGTGACTTCAATCTCAGGCGCATTGTCGTTCACGTCCACTATTTTTATTATCACGTTTTTCTGTGCGGCTAAAGGAGGTACGCCCTTATCTGAGGCCTCTACTTCAATTTCGTATTTATCTTTTTCTTCAAAGTCAATTTGTCCTTTGACAATAATCTCTCCTTTTGAAAGATTTATTTCAAACAATTTCAGCAACTTTTGCCCTACACTTTTGCTAAAAGAATAAATCACTTCTCCATTTTTTCCTTCGTCTGAATCAGTGGCATTGACTTGTGTCACAATTGTTCCGATTGGAACATTTTCACGAAGCATCACTGTTAATTCAGTGTCAGAAAATACAGGTGCATTATCATTCACGTCAAGAACATTCACAGTGATACCCATTATACCAGATTTGGGAGGTTTTCCTCCATCTACAGCCGTCAACAAAAGAGAGTAAAGTTTATCTTTCTCTCTGTCTAAAGACTTTTGAACAATTAATGTTGGTATTTTCCCATCATCTCCTTTGTCTTTAACTTCTAAACGAAAATGTTCATTTGCACTGAGCCTGTACTGCTGTATAGAAAATGACCCACTGTCCGCGTCTCTCGCTGCACTGAGTGGAATCCGCACTCCCGGTAACACGGACTCAGAAATGTCCAGTGTTGTTTCTAATTCAGGGAAAACTGGAGCATTGTCGTTGATGTCCTGCACCTCCACTCCAACATAATGCACCTCCAGGGGGTTTTCTAACAGAGTCTTTAGATTGATTAAACACGTCGTGGTCTTTTCACACACCTCTTCTCGGTCAATCTTACGGCTCACGTACAAATGACCGTCTTTCTGATCCACGTGAAAAAGCGACTCTGCAGCAGCAGACACAATGCGATACTTCCTGTCTCTGAGCGCACTCTTATCCAAACCCAGATCCTTTGCTACATTCCCGACGATGGTTCCTTCTTTCACTTCTTCAGTGATAGAATATCTCAGCTGCGCAGAAGCTATTGTCCACAAAGCTACAGCAAAAAGAGAGCTCCTCCAGCACATAGCGCGACACGGTCTTAGGCCCATGACTGGAAACATAATCCAACACGTGAAAAGTGCTCTGATTATAATAAGTTATGAATCCATCGATTGAAAGAAAACACTGTTTAACTCACTCAGCCCGATCCGCGATGTAAGACGCGCAGGTTTTTGTTCCCAACAGAAAGTGGGAGGAACAGAATCAGACTCAGCCCACAGCGTTTGAACAGACTGTGTTACAGTGACACCATGTGATATACGTGAAAATTATGTTGTTCATTCAAATGTTTGGCTTTTTGACGATTTTTCCCCTTTTCAAACAAATTTTAATCAAATTTGAGGAAACTTTTCAGCACCGTGGAGAGTGTTTCTAGAATTACTGACCAGTCCTCTCCGGCTCTGAGATTGTTCCTCCTCCTCCGACGACAGCAGAGAATGTTTACATATAGACTGTCAAAATTTTGAATTTGAATCTTTTCAATTTACTGACTACAAATCTCAATCAAAATTAAACAAAATCGATCCTGACAAAAATATTTCCGTGAATTATAGCAAAAATCTTTCAGTTCATACAGACACATACTTTAATTAAAACATTAAGTATAAACTGTTCATTATTAATTTTAATAGCAGGGTTCTTCACACATTGCAATAACAAAAGATTATTTGAATTGAATTTAAAATACTAATTTGTATCATAGCAATATTAGAGGCATGGTTAAATGTTGAAAAGGGCACAGAGTCTAACTTGAGTGGTTATGAAAGGTTCTGTGTAAATAGAGACAACAAAAAAGGAGGAGGAGTAGCATTATAAATAAACCAAAATAATATAGATAGGTATTTGAATGTGCTACGGTTGAAATGAAAAACGGAAAAAGATTATTATAAGTTGTGTCTACAACATAACATAATACATTTAAGGAATGGATGAGACGTTTGCAACCAAAATAAAAAAAATGTTGTTATTGTTCAACATCCAGAAAGTTAAGATAGAAGGAGATTATAACATGACTTTCCTGCGTAATTGGACAAACCCATAATGAAAAGAATCTTAAATGACATCTATCACAAGTTTCAAAGAACTAATACAGCCAATGTCAAATACCATTTCTAGTAAACCTGCTCACAGCTGCATCAGTCCCTCAGTCATCGACCAAACTGTGGACAACACTATGGAGTCTTTAAAATCTGCTCTAAATACAGCAGCTCCTATAAAACAAAACACTTTTAGGATTAGAGTAGATAATTAGAGGATTATCGCTGTGGTATAATATCCAGCTGCATATTCTCAAACAGAATGTTCGAAAACTGGAGAGACTATGTCGCCACTCCCACTTGTAGGTCCCGAAACTACAAGAATGCCCTACGTAAAACTCAAACTCAATTCTATTCATATAATAGAAATGAATAAATACAACAGTAGATTCCTGTTTAGCACCGTCGCTAAACTAACAAACTGTCATAGCCCAATCGAGCCTAAAATACCAATCTCACTGAGCAGTGTCAACTTTCTGCACTTCTTTAATGATAAAATTACATTTATACGTGACAAACTGGAGGAAACCACCCCTAATGTTAGTGATGAACAGGCTGAAGTGGTAAACTTAACGTCCCACTTTGACTCAGTGAGCCTGGACCAGTTCATGGTTGTGAGCCAAGCGGAAGTGATCTCTGTGGGCACATCTTCCAAATCCTTAACATGCATTTTAGATCCAGGCTCTTCAAAGACACACTCACTGTAATGTCAATCTTAAACATAATAAATACATCTATAGAAAGTATAAATGTCCCACAAGCTTTTAAAACCGCGGTAAACAAACCATTTCTGAAAAAAACAAAACTCAAACCTGAATCAATTAAAAATTACAGACCTATTTTAACCATTGCCAAACAACTATGCTGCTAACTACAGGAAAATGCAATATTTGAAATCTTTCCATCCAGATTAAGAGCTCATCATAGCACTGAAACAACAATAGTCAGGACTACTAGTTGTTGATAATAGACAAGTGTCAGTGTTGGTTCTGCAGGACCTCAACGCTGCATTTGACACAATAGACCACAATATTCTGCAGAGGCTCGAATTTGACCTAGGAACCGCACTTGGCTGGTTTCAATCCGATCGGTATCAGATTGTTAATGTGAACCAAAACTATATCAGGAAATATCCTTCCTAAAAGAGACGCAGAAAAACGAATCCACGCATCTGTCACTTCAAGGCTTGACTACTGTAACAATTTTCTGTAGCGTGCCCTAAATCCTCTATGAAAAGCTTCCAGCTCGTCCAAAATACAGCTGTCGGTGGGTGAAAAATGGGTGGTGGGTTTTAATAAGGTTTTATTTATATTCTTATGCATGTTGTGTTTGTGTTTTTAACATTGTTTTTAAAATAGTTTTTAACTTGCACTACCCGAAGCACCCCGGCTCCCCACGTGATGACGATTAGAACACCTGTGTCTTGCGTACAAAAGGAGATGGGGAGGGGGCGGAGCAAGGAGGAAGGAAGACAGGGAAACGCGGGAGCCAGACAGCGAGCGGAAGAATTCTGTGGTCTGTCGGTCCAGGCCGTGGACAAGAGGACTTATTTTCAGCCTATTTTAGCCTCTGGTTTTAGCTTAGCTTTTTATTGTTTTTTATTCTTTTACTTGTTTGATAATAAATGTTTTTTTTAATTTGCTTTGAATCCAGTGGTTTCCTTTAAACCTGGATCCAAAGAACCCGCTCTTTAACCTCTGACACAGCGGCAAGGATCTTAACAGGCACCAAAAGGAGGGAACACAAAACTCCGGAGTTAAAATCACTGCAATTAGAATACAATTTAAAATCCCTCTTTTAACATACAAAGCCATAAAGGACATGGCTCCTTCCTACCTGCAAGACACAGTAGTGTCATACCAACCAAACCGAGCACTGCGCTCACAAAACGTGCCTAAGGTCAAAAGCACTATTGGCGGCAGAGAATTTAGCTACCAAGTTCCTTTACTGTGGAATCAGCTTCCCATTAAGGAAGCAGACACTGTCTCTAGATTCAAGGCCTGGCTTAAAACAGTCCTCTTAAATTTAGTGAATGGTTAGGTAAATAAGACTCAGGGAAAACTACAAATCTTGTTAGTAAAGCTTTATAAGGAGTCAGTTTGCTGGGAGAAGTATGGTAACTTGAGCACTATCCCCTCCTATTTCCTACTTTATCTGTCATCATTATTATGATTTTGACTGTAGTCTGTTCATTGCTATTCACCCACTGTCCCATTGTCTGTTTCATTGTGTGATGATCTGCACCTGCGCACTCGCCTGCCCAGCGAATTCGTAAGCTGCAACCCCTCCCCGCCTGGGAGCTGCTTCGGTCCTGTAGCACAACCTGAGTCCTACACTGCGTGGTCTTGGTCCTCGTCCTGAGTCCTGGATCAATAGCCCGCCCGTCCGTGGGAGTGGACCCCTCTCTCAATGTGGACTCAATGAAAGAGTTGTTCCTTGCTGATGCAGGAGAGTCTGTTAAAGCCTTGTGAGGTCTAACTAACTAACTAAGAAATTGTACATTGATTGAGACAGCCAGCTCTAATTTAGTCTGAAAAGAACCACGAGCCAAAACAGCGCTGAAGCCAATGTGTATTTCTGTAAGGGGGGCTATTTCGTTAAATGGACTCACTGAAGACTAGAAAAACCATTTACGTTTGACACCAGTCAAAACGTATATTATAAAATTGGTGAGGGAAAGTTACAGGAGGAGAAAACAAGATATATTTATTTCAGTATCATGGCAGGAGAGGGAAGAAGTGTTGGGCGTGTGGATTGTCAGAGTATGTTGAATTGTGTGCATATTAGAATTGTGCGGCTAACGGCCTTAGGAAGTTCTTAACATGCACGCTTTATTATGATGTGTATCATTTAAAATCCATTCACACACACCACAAACGTTCTCATCTTGTCTAATGGTGCTTGTTACAAAGACGATGTTACAAAGCTGCACAACCACAAGGCCAAATAAGCAAATTCTATTTTGCTTCATAAAAAAATAAAATGGATAAATATTAATGATTACAAGCATATGTTTTACTCATTACGGGTCAAAATCCAATATATAAAGTATTTACCTCCTCAGAAGGCCTCCTCCTGTCCGGCAGCACTAGTGTGTTGGCTTGGCTCCCTGGGACTATAGTGGAGCCTACGCTCATTCTGGGTCCCACTAACATGTAGCGCTTGTCTCCAGATCTGTACTGGATGCTGTGGCACAGAGTCCCGTCATAGTTTGTGTCCTGTAAGTACTTGGAGGTGTAGTCAATGCTGGACTTGGAGCACTGCATTGCTATCAGCACAATGATACTGATGATGAACAGAGCTGAGACCGAGGCCAGAGTTATCATCAGGTAAAAAGTCACATTAGTGTCCTCAGCGTCTTTAGCGGAGCTCTTCACGTCAGAAGCTGCAGACGCCTCTCTGGCCTCCACCACTTTGACAAGCACAGTAGCTGTAGCTGAGAGCGACACGTTGCCATTGTCTTTGACCAGTATGACGAGTTTGTGCTGGGCCTCGTCTGTCTCTGTGAATGAGCGAAGTGTCCTGATCTGTCCTGTGTAGCGGTCCAAGCCAAACAGACTGTGGTCAGTCACTTCCTGCAGTGAAAACAGCAGCCAGCCGTTATATCCGATGTCCGCGTCATAGGCCCTGACTTTAGTCACCAAGTGTCCTGCGTTCACATTGCGGGGGATCTCCTCCACTCCTTCAGCAGAACCGTTAGAGCTGACTGGATACAGAATGACTGGAGCGTTGTCGTTTTGGTCCAGAATGAACACATGCACTGACACGTTGCTGCTCAGTGACGGAGTCCCAGAGTCTGAGGCCACCACTTGAAACTGGAACGACTTTAAAGTCTCAAAGTCAAAGCTTTTCATGGCCGTGATTTGACCATTTTCAGCGTTCACGTTTAAAAAGAGCGCCACGTTCTTCTCTTGTCCTGAACGCGCAATGCTGTAGGAAACATGTGCGTTTTCATTCTTATCTTTGTCTGTTGCAGTTACAGAGAACAGGGACGTCCCTGCCGCGTTATTTTCTACTATATAAAAGTACAGAGGATTGTGTTCAAACTGTGGACTGTTGTCGTTCACATCTAATATCTGAATACTGAGAGTTTTAGTGGTGGATAAAGGAGGCTCTCCACAGTCAGTGGCTTTTATTCTTATGTCATAATTAGAAACCTTCTCTCTGTCCAGGAAGTCTTCAGTGACAACTGAATATGTGTTTTCTTTATACGAGGGTTTGAGCTCAAAGGGCACGTTGTTTGTGATGTGAGCGATGATTTTACCATTCACTCCAGAGTCTTTGTCTTTGACGCGGATGAGAGAAACTACTGTCCCTGGTTTGGAGTTTTCAGACACTGTGTTTGACAAAGAGGTCACTTCTATTTCAGGGGAATTATCATTAACATCTAGGATTTTTATTATCACTCTACCGTCTCCTGTGAGTGTCGGTGTACCTTTATCTGATGCCTCGACATCTATTTCGTAGTGATCGGTTTCTTCAAAGTCTATAGAACCTCTTGTTACAAGTTCTCCTGTTAATTTATTTAATTCAAATGTTCTATACACAGCTGGGCTCAGTGTTTCCCCGAGGCTGTACTCAATTTCTCCGTTTATTCCCTCGTCAGCATCAGTCGCGTTTAGCTTAAATATTACGTTTCCTATTTCCAAATTCTCTGTCACTGTGATATGATAAACCTCTTGTGTAAACACGGGTTTATTATCATTACTGTCCAGAACTATTATAGTGATATTCAGTATCCCAGACTTTTGTGGTTTCCCGCCATCTACCGCAGTGAGACGCAGCGTGTGTTTGCTGCTTTGTTCTCGGTCTAAAGATTTCTTCAAAACCAGAAATGGTATTTTACCTGAGTCACTCTCTCTGATGTTAATGTCAAAATGTTCATTCGCAGACAGTATATAGGTGCGGATAGAATTCACTCCTGTATCGGGGTCTAGCGCTGGGTGGAGCTGAAGTCTCTTCCCAGGCAAAATGTGCTCTCCGATGTCAAAGGTTTGATTATTTTTAGGAAAAGTGGGAGCGTGATCATTGACGTCAGTGACTTCTACGACCAAATAATGAACTTCCAAAGGGTTTTCTACCAGAACCTTCAGCTCCATCAGGCACGTACCGCTGCCCTGACACAGCTGCTCTCTGTCAATGTGGCCGTGGACGTACAAAGCGCCGTCATCTGCGTTTACTGCAAAAATATCTTCATTTGATTCAGAAACAACACGGAACCGTCTCTCACGCAAAGAGGACACATCCAGACCAAGATCCTTTGCGACATTTCCAACAACAGTCCCGTCCCTCACCTCCTCCGGGACAGAGTATCTGATCTGAGCCACAGCGCACTGTCCGAAACACAGCAGCAGAACTGAGCACAAACCGATCCAAGAGCAGATCCCTGGTAGAAAAGGCCGCTTCATTTTCCTCTAAAATCTATTTAAAAGAATCTATTGAAATAAAAACGTGGAACAAAAAGCTTAGTCCGCATAACGCTACGCACAAGTGACCACTCCGCTTCAGTAAAATGGAAACAAAGCGCTGCGAGAGGAGGGACAAACAAGTGGAGACGTTTGTCTGTTGGAGACTGCCACCGTGAGGCCAAAGAAAGAAGAGCTGAGAGGATACATTACAACAATATTATGATTTTATATTCAATTAACTACATCGAGAACAGCTTTAAACTAATAGTTTAAATACGGAGCTGGAAAACATTTAAACGACAATGTGCAACTGAAATACTGTCCCATCCAGCACCATGGACAGCGGTTGGGAAAAGAGGCGCTCATTCACGGCGATGTTTAACACACAGGGAATATAATTAAGTATAGTAATATTTCCATTTCAGAACTGGTGTATTTTGAGTGTCATCACAGTACCAAGAGGTGGCGCTCTGGTTCCATTTGTATGAGAGAGCTCAGAAACACTTTTGTCTGCCATTTCACTTCAAGAAAGATTCGTAAATACATCTACTCTGTTGTTTTTCTCTGAAGAATTCTCGTTTTGTTCAAACTATGTTCAACACACGCACATAGTACAGATATGCAATAGCTAAAATGTATTTCAAACAAGCTTGAGATATTATAGGAGATAGAGGAAAATGCAAAAAAAAAGTTAATAAACCGACTTATATATTTCTCATTGATGAACATGTAAAGAGACTTTTGTGGGAAGTCAGGTCACTGTGATTGAGTCAGGAGCTAATGTCGCAATTGAGATACATGAATAACGATGGTGTTCGTCCAAACGCAATTACTTGACTCTTACCTCCTCAGAGGGCCTCCTCCTGTCCGGCAGCACTAGTGTGTTGGCTTGGCTCCCTGGGACTATAGTGGAGCCTACGCTCATTCTGGGTCCCACTAACATGTAGCGCTTGTCTCCAGATCTGTACTGGATGCTGTGGCACAGAGTCCCGTCATAGTTTGTGTCCTGTAAGTACTTGGAGGTGTAGTCAGTGCTGGACTTGGAGCACTGCATTGCAATCAGCACAATGATACTGATAATGAACAGAGCTGAGACCGAGGCCAGAGTTATCATCAGGTAAAAAGTCACATTAGTGTCCTCAGCGTCTTTAGCGGAGCTCTTCACGTCAGAAGCTGCAGACGCCTCTCTGGCCTCCACCACTTTGACAAGCACAGTAGCTGTAGCTGAGAGCGACACGTTGCCATTGTCTTTGACCAGTATGACGAGTTTGTGCTGGGCCTCGTCTGTCTCTGTGAATGAGCGAAGTGTCCTGATCTGTCCTGTGTAGCGGTCCAAGCCAAACAGACTGTGGTCAGTCACTTCCTGCAGTGAAAACAGCAGCCAGCCGTTATATCCGATGTCCGCGTCATAGGCCCTGACTTTAGTCACCAAGTGTCCTGCGTTCACATTGCGGGGGATCTCCTCCACTCCTTCAGCAGAACCGTTAGAGCTGACTGGATACAGAATGACTGGAGCGTTGTCGTTTTGGTCCAGAATGAACACATGCACTGACACGTTGCTACTCAGTGACGGAGTCCCAGAGTCTGAGGCCACCACTTGAAACTGGAACGACTTTAAAGTCTCAAAGTCAAAGCTTTTCAGGGCTGTGATTTGACCATTTTCAGCGTTCACGTTTAAAAAGAGCGCCACGTCCTTCTCTTGTCCTGAACGCGCAATGCTGTAGGAAACATCTGCGTTTTCATTCTTATCTTTGTCTGTTGCAGTTACAGAGAACAGGGACGTCCCTGCCGCGTTATTTTCTACTATATAAAAGTACAGAGGATTGTGTTCAAACTGTGGACTGTTGTCGTTCACATCTAATATCTGAATACTGAGAGTTTTAGTGGTGGATAAAGGAGGCTCTCCACAGTCAGTGGCTTTTATTCTTATGTCATAATTAGAAACCTTCTCTCTGTCCAGGAAGTCTTTAGTGACAACTGAATATGTATTTTCTTTATACGAGGGTTTGAGCTCAAAAGGCACGTTGTTTGTGATGTGAGCGATGATTTTACCATTCACTCCAGAGTCTTTGTCTTTGACGCGGATGAGAGAAACTACTGTCCCTGGTTTGGAGTTTTCAGACACTGTGTTTGACAAAGAGGTCACTTCTATTTCAGGGGAATTATCATTAACATCTAGGATTTTTATTATTACTCTACATTCTCCTGTCAATGGGGGCGTGCCTTTATCTGACGCTTGAACTTCCAATTCATACAAATCATTTTCTTCATAATTTATTGGTCCCGTTGAAATAATATCACCAGTTTTTGGGTCTAGTTCAAAAATGTCATAGATTCTTTGGTTTAGTGTTTTTGATAAATTATAATCAATTTCTCCGTTTGATCCTTCGTCTGGGTCTGTTGCTGTGAGCCAAAAAATAGAGGCGCCTGGTTTTAAATTTTCCTTCGCTGTAATTTCATAAATCTCTTGACTAAAAACTGGTATGTTGTCGTTACTATCAAGAACAATAATGGAAACATTCAGTGTCCCTGATCTTCGGGGTTTACCTCCATCAACTGCTGTCACCACCAGAAAATGCTCACTGCTTCGTTCTCTGTCCAGCATTTTTTTCAGCACAAGAAATGGGATCTTTCCACTTTTGGTTTCGCGGATATTGATGTCAAAATGTTCGTTAGCAGACAACGTGTAGGTTTGAATAGAGTTTACTCCTGCGTCAGGATCATTAGCAGGGTGAAGCTGGAATCGTTTTCCAGACGGCGTTAGTTCCCCTATTTCTATAGTTTCGTTTCCTTTAGGAAAAGTGGGAGCGTGATCATTGACGTCAGTGACTTCTACAACCACATAATGAACTTCCAAAGGGTTTTCTACCAGAACCTTCAGCTCCATCAGGCACGTACCGCTGCCCTGACACAGCTGCTCTCTGTCAATGTGGCCGTGAACGTACAAAGCACCGTCATCTGCGTTTACTGCAAAAATATCTGCATTTGATTCAGAAACAACACGGAACCGTCTCTCACGCAAAGAGGACACATCCAGACCAAGATCCTTTGCGACATTTCCAACAACAGTCCCGTCCCTCACCTCCTCCGGGACAGAGTATCTGATCTGAGCCACAGCGCACTGTCCGAAACACAGCAGCAGAACTGAGCACAAACCGATCCAAGAGCATATCCCTGGTAGAAAAGGCCGCTTCATTTTCCGCTAAAATCCCTTTAAAAGCATCTATTGAAATAAAAACGTGAGACAAAAAGCATAGTCTGCATAACGCTACGCACAAGTGACCTCTCCGCTTCAGTAAAATGGAAACAAAGCGCTGCAAGAGGAGGGACAAACAAGTGGAGACGTTTGTCTGTTGGAGACTCCCACCGTGAGGCCAAAGAAGGAAGAGCTGAGAAGATACATTACAACAATAAATTGTATATTCAATTAACTACATTGAGAACAGCCTTTAAATAATAGTTTAAATACGGAGCTGGAAAACATTTAATGTGCAAATGAAATACTCTGCTATCCAGCACCATGGACAGCAGTTGGCAAACGAGCGCACTACTGTATTTCAAAACGGTTAAAGCTCATACACGGTGATGTTTAACAAACAGGGCATAGTATTAAATATTGTAATATATTAAATTGCAGAACTGGTGTATTTTGAGTGTCACCACAGTACCAACAGGTGGCGCTCTTGTGCCCTTTGTTCAAGTGTGAGAGAGCTCATAAACGCTTTTGTCTGCTATTTGCCCACCGTTTCACTTCAAAAAAAGATTCGTAAATACATCTACTCCTGTTGTTTTTCTCTGAAGAATTCTCGTTTTGTTCAAACTATGTTCAACACACGCACATACCAATATGCAATAACTATAATATATTTCAAACAATCTTAATATACCATAAGAGATAGAAGAATATGCAAACAAAAAGTTATTAAACAGACTTATATATTTCTCATTGATGAACATGTAAAGAGACTTATGTGGGAAGTTAGGTCACTGTGATTTAGTCAGGAGCTAAAGAATAATATGGTGTTCGTCCAATCGCAATTATTGACTCTTACCTCCTCAGAGGGCCTCCTCCTGTCCGGCAGCACTAGTGTGTTGGCTTGGCTCCCTGGGACTATAGTGGAGCCTACGCTCATTCTGGGTCCCACTAACATGTAACGCTTGTCTCCAGATCTGTACTGGATGCTGTGGCACAAAGTCCCGTCATAGTTTGTGTCCTGCAAGTACTTGGAGGTGTAGTCAGTGCTGGACTTGGAGCACTGCATTGCAATCAGCACAATGATACTGATAATGAACAGAGCTGAGACCGAGGCCAGAGTTATCATCAGGTAAAAAGTCACATTAGTGTCCTCAGCGTCTTTAGCGGAGCTCTTCACGTCAGAAGCTGCAGACGCCTCTCTGGCCTCCACCACTTTGACAAGCACAATAGCTGTAGCTGAGAGCGAAACGTTGCCATTGTCTTTGACCAGTATGACGAGTTTGTGCTGGGCCTCGTCTGTCTCTGTGAATGAGCGAAGTGTCCTGATCTGTCCTGTGTAGCGGTCCAAGCCAAACAGACTGTGGTCAGTCACTTCCTGCAGTGAAAACAGCAGCCAGCCGTTATATCCGATGTCCGCGTCATAGGCCCTGACTTTAGTCACCAAGTGTCCTGCGTTCACATTGCGGGGGATCTCCTCCACTCCTTCAGCAGAACCGTTAGAGCTGACTGGATACAGAATGACTGGAGCGTTGTCGTTTTGGTCCAGAATGAACACATGCACTGACACGTTGCTGCTCAGTGACGGAGTCCCAGAGTCTGAGGCCACCACTTGAAACTGGAACGACTTTAAAGTCTCAAAGTCAAAGCTTTTCAGGGCCGTGATTTTACCATTTTCACTGTTAATATTGAGAAATGAAGTCACTTTATTTTCCTTGCTTCCGTCTCTGTAAAGATGATAAGAAATATGAGAGTTTTCTCCTTCATCTTGATCAACAGCCTGAACTGAAAACAGCTGCGCTCCTGGGTCGTTGCCCTCAGTGATATAAAAACTATATGGTTTCAGCACAAACTCTGGGCTGTTGTCGTTTACGTCAGAAATGACAATTAAAATGTTCTTTTCAGAAGTGAGTGAGGGCTGACCGTGATCTTTGGCAACTACAGACAGTACGTACTGAGGCTGCGTCTCTCTGTCCAGAGCAGATTTAGTCACGAGTGAAAACATTTTGTCCTGTAGAGAAGGAGACAGTGTAAAGGGAACAGCTCCTTCTATTGAACATGTGACTTTCCCGTTTAGCCCAGAGTCCCTGTCATTAACACTGATCAGAGCCACAGTAGTCCCGGGCCGAGAGTCTTCAGGGATGGAGCTGGAAAACGAAGTGACTTCAATCTCAGGCGCATTGTCGTTCACGTCCACTATTTTGATTACTATCTTCTTTTGTGTTGACAAGGGAGCAGAACCTTTATCTGACGCCTTTATATCAATAACATACTTTTCCTTCTCCTCATAATTCAATAAACCTTTGACAATTATTTCACCTGTTTGTGAATTTATGTCAAACAAATCTCTAAGTCGTTGTTTTACGCTGTTGCTAAATGAATACATCACTTCTCCATTTGTTCCTTCGTCTGAATCAGTGGCGTTCACCTGTATTACAGTCGTACCTATTGCTACATTTTCTGTAAGCGACACAGATAATTCACCACCAGTAAAAACAGGTGCGTTGTCATTTACGTCTAAAACATTTACATTAATTCTAGTCTGACCAGATTTGGGAGGTTTTCCTCCATCTACAGCCGTCAGCACAAGGGAGTGACGCTTCTCTGTTTCTCTGTCTAATGGTTTTTGTACAATTAATGTTGGTATTTTACCATCTTCTTCCATATCTGTAACTTCTAATCGAAAATGTTCATTTGCACTGAGCCTGTACTGCTGTATAGAAAATGACCCACTGTCCGCGTCTCTCGCTGCTTTGATGTCAATCCGCACTCCCGGTAACACGGACTCGTGAATATCAAGTGTTGTTTCTAATTCAGGGAAAACTGGAGCATTGTCGTTGATGTCCTGCACCTCCACTCCAACATAATGCACCTCCAGGGGGTTTTCTAACAGAGTCTTTAGATTGATTAAACACGTCGTGGTCTTTTCACACACCTCTTCTCGGTCAATCTTACGGCTCACGTACAAATGACCGTCTTTCTGATCCACGTGAAAAAGCGACTCTGCAGCAGCAGACACAATGCGATACTTCCTGTCTCTGAGCGCACTCTTATCCAAACCCAGATCCTTTGCTACATTCCCGACGATGGTTCCTTCTTTCACTTCTTCAGTGATAGAATATCTCAGCTGTGCAGAAGCTATTGTCCACAAAGCTACAGCAAAAAGAGAGCTCCTCCAGCACATAGCGCGACACGGTCTTAGGCCCATGACTGGAAACATAATCCAACACGTGAAAAGTGCTCTGATTATAATAAGTTATGAATCCATCGATTGAAAAACACAGTTTAACTCACTCAGCCCGATCCGCGATGTAAGACGCGCAGGTTTTTGTTCCCGACAGAAAGTGGGAGGAACAGAATCAGACTCAGCCTATAGCGTTTGAAAAGACTGTGTTACAGTGACACCA